GCACCGAGTTGTCATTGAAAACGACGGAAATTCGAGAGAAATTGATGCAGAATGCAAAAATAAAAGGAGCTGGAATGAGAAAGAAGCAGCCGGTGTGCGACTTGAAAATTTCATTATTCATTAGAAAGCTGAACAAGCCGCTTGCTGCACTTTGCGTTTGGTGCAATAAAGAAATCGCGGCCCGCACACTCCTGTACAGTTGCGGTCCCGTTCGTTTACATGACGGCTATTGTGGCTATGGAAGTGAATCTAGATCTAGATTATCGATCCCTAGATATATCTAGATTTACACATATTTAGATACCGTATCTAGATTCTAGATCTAGATTAGATAGCCTAGGCTATAATTTTAATTCAGTTTAGATCTACAGTGGAACCTGCCTTAACGGAAACCTGTGTAAAACGGAAACCTGTCTTAACGGAATCTCCCCGCTCCCCCTTGATATATTCCTCTTTAATTGCCTGTATAAAACGGATACCTGTCCAACGCGGAAACTGAAAGAAAATTCCGCTCCCTTCCGAGGGTTTCACCTGCCTAAGACGGAAAATGCTTTGTCCGCTCAGCCCTGATTTGAAACAAAACTTCCAAGTATGGTTCCACCGGCTCTGAACTTAACGCCATGGCCATTCCGCTGGGCGAGGAAGGGGAGTAGGGGTGCAATTTGGGGGTAGATATTACCCCATCATGTGAGCCCTGAGCGATGCAGATGGCCAGTGTAGTGTGGGTGTGAAATCTCACGACTGCCCGTGAGAGTGCTCGAGTGGCGAGCCACCACGGAAACTTTCCAGGTAGCTATACAAGCTAGAAGTGTGAAATTAAAATGACCAATGCCTGCCGCCCTGATCGTACGGCCAGCCGAGAAAAAGAGTTCCTTGAATCGTTGTTACAATGATGGCAGTGAGGGGTGGCATTGGTGGGTGGGACTAAGGATGGAAGCAAAGGAAATGTTCAAATGTTTCTGTTTTTAATAGGTCAAACAGTGGTCCTATCATAGCTGCCACTTTTCCGCTAAATAGCGGAAACTCCGCTTCATCTAGCTTTTCCCGCTACTTTCCACCTTCCTCCGCGGGACCGCTCTCGGTTGCAAATTGCGATACTTTTTTACACGTGGAAAACACCGAACTGGGAGAGAGACGAAAACGCAGCTTGCGCATGTCCGCCCGTAGCTTTCTACTTCCGTTCTTCTAGGCCGAGCGTTAGTTTCACTTTGTTTATTGTGGAGCAACAAAGTGTCGATCTGGCATCGGGACGTTAGCGCGCCGAGTTGTCACTGAAAACGGCGGAAATTCGGTTTGGTGCGATAAAGAAATCGCGGCCCGCGGCACTCCTGTACAATTATGGTCCCGTTTGACTACATGACGGCTATTGTGGCTGTTGAAGTGAATCTAGATCTAGATCTAGATAATCTATCTCTAGATCTAGATATAATCTAGATTTACACATATTTAGATATCTAGATCTAGATTAGATAGCCTAGGCTGTAATTTTAATTCAGGTTAGATCTACACTCTACAGAGGGACTATACTAAGTTAAGTGCAAACAGGACCGCAATTGTACAGGAGTGCTCAGTACAGCGGCAAAGGTGTTGCCTCTTTGATCCAATACTGCGCGCGCTCTACATCGATGTACAAGTTTAAAGAGAAAGAAATCTTTTTATAAGACACCAGCTTGCAACAAACTCTGGATTTTTAGTCACCAAGTCCAAACTGTGTCAAATTGACTGAAATGCTTGTTAGTCTACTTAGTGCCTTTGTTGGGTTTTTTTTTTTTTTTCAAATACATTTTAATTCAGTTGCCTATGGTTAACAAATATGACAGTTTTCCCTTCCAAAACCATAGGCTACATTTTCCAGTATATATTGCCTCTGGATCTCACTAGTTTTACTCCAGCCTTCGGAGAGCGCGCGTCCGCGTTCGCATGAATTTCCTCCTTTTTTAAAATTCCTGAGTGGCAGCTATGTCCTATGAAAGGCAAGCACTGGTGGTAATTGGATAAGTTAGACTGATGCATGTCACTATCAGACAGGATAGCAGTTGAGAGGTGTGATGTTTTGACCACTGCTTGCCGATCGGACAAGTGATCCTTGATCCCACCGGCTGGGCCGTTGAAACCCCCCCCCACCTCCTTCTCCCCCTAAATCCCCCTGTCTAAGACGGAAAATGTCAGACGGAATTTTTTTCTGGCTCCCTTGCGATTCCGTCTTACACAGGTTCGACTGTACACACACTACAGGGGCACTACTACTACTAAGTTAAGTGCAAACGGGACCGCAATTGTACAGGAGTGCCGAAATCGCTCAGTACAGCGGCAAAGATGTTACCTCCTTGATCCAATATTGCTCTACATCGATGTACACGTTTAAAGTGAAAGAAATCTTTGTATGAGACTCCAGCTGGCAACAAACACTGGATTTTTAGTCACCAAGTCCAAACTGTGTCAAATTGACTCCAATGCTTGTTAGTCAACTTACTGCCTTTGTGTTGTTTTTTTTTTTTTTTCAAATACATTTTAATTCAGTTGCCTGTCTATGGTTAACAAATATGACAGTTTTCCCTTCCAAAACTGTGGGCTAGATTTTCCAGTATATTATTAAATCGCCTCTGGATCTCACTGGCTTTACTCCGGCCTTTGGAGAGCGCGCGTCCGCCTTCGCGTGAATTTCCTTTTTTTAAAATTCCTGAGTGGCAACTATGTATAACGTAATAGGCCCAATTGTATAGTATTTTAACATGTAGTGTTTCATGAGAGCATTCCCCTGCCCACTTGATCTTTTGCAATTAGGTTTGATATTTTTTCAGGAAAAATTTGTGAGGATTTTTCTGGCCATGTGTGTTCTGCGGAAAAAAACCCCCAACCCTAAAACAGTACATCTTGAATGAGGGCCCGAAAGTAAAAATTTACCACCTCAAAAGAATCTCTTATAGTTTTAGTAAGAGTTTAACGGCACCTGCAACACAATAAGGTCACATAATATAAATGCCAAAGAATAGATGTGTTACAAAAGAGTAACAAACACAAAAAAAAGAAGAGATTTATAAGGACGACTGATGTTTGATAGGAAAGAAGGAGCAAACAACACCAGAGCACCTGCCAACCACCCACAAGCATCTTTTGTCTGTGCCTGGAGTACAAGGAGTATAATAGGGTGTAATGGATTTCCAGATCAAATTTGAAGAAGAAAACCAAAGGTCTGTGATCTACTATTTGATAAAATGTGCACTGGCCACTCACTGCCTTTCATTTAGTCAAACCTGCCCTGACGGCCACCTCTATAAGACGGCCACCTGTACAAACGGGCACTTTCCATTCCCCCCTTGCGTTTTTTCTATATAATTTAACTGTGTAAAACGGGCACCTGTCCAATGCGGCCGCGACCACCATATTTTAACACACAGCCCCTATCACACTAAGCAATAACACCTGTCTTAGACGGCCACCTTAGTGACTCCATCACGTTTTGTCATAAATTGTGCATTGACCCCTGGCGTTGTGGGCGAGTCGTCATAATTCAATCACCTGTCGTTGTTGTTAGGTAGTCCCTCCAACCGATCATGTTGCGTAGGCCCCTTCCAGTGTTGACCAATAGCTACCAATTTACAGCTGCTGGTGAGGTAAACGTGTGATCCCTCAAAACCCATAAGCCCCGCCCAGAACTCATACACAAATTGTAAGTGAGATGAATGGTCACTGTTTACCCAGTCTGTAACAAAGGATGTCAACATAAACTTGTGACCGAAGCGTCGCTCGTTCTCTGGGTGGTGGCGACCCATGTGTTTGTTTTAACATGGCACTCGGTCTTCCTCGTCTGATACATTTCGTTTTATTTTCACCCTTGTGCAAAATCAGCAACAAAATAAAAATTACTAACAAAATACAAACCACCACCACCACCACCACCACCAAAAACAGCAACAATGGGGCCACTTTCGATTGGGACCACAGATGGGAATGGTTCATTTTCTTCATCTTGATCAGTCCTGCCTAAGACGGCCACCTGTTTTATACGGGTCTTTTCTCCTTGACAGTGGGTGGCCGTCTTACACAGGTTTGACTGTACCTAATCTGATCTGATCATACGGTGAATCACTCCTTGATATTTAGCCTCGTGATAAGAATTCTAAGAAGTATCATATTTCCATCTGCAATGTATAAATGTGAAGCAAGGACCTTCATTGAACGAGACAGAAGGATTACAGCTTTTGAAATGAAATGTTATAAAACAAGAATAATGTCTTGGAGACGGAATGAAGAATGAAGTTAGTACTAAGAAGAATAGGTTTAAAGGTCAACACTTCCAGAAAGTACTGAAACTGAAATACTTGTCATATTAAGTGCCATTATTCACTTGAGAAACACATTCTAGAAGCAGGGGTAGTAGTGAAGGCAAGAGCAGAGGAAGTGACCGACCTAATAGAAGATAGGAACAGGACGTACAAACTTGGCTGAAGAATACAGTTGCCATAGTAGCTGCCACCTATGGTTCTGTTTTAAAAAAAATAATAAAAAATTGGGAGGGGGTGGGGGGGGGGGGGGGGTGGATATGGAGTAATTACCTCACCTGCTGACAGAATCATGTGATATTTCCCCTTGATCCTTTTTTGACATAATCCTCGCAGATGAAGAACATGCCTTTGGTAGAACCTAGCCAAGTGGATGGAGAGCCCTAAATACTTCCGAAACATCCAAAATGAAGAACACTTCATTGGGAATTCAAACGGTCATCCTTTCCACAGTCCAACATGTCAAATGCACCCATGATTCACACCGTTCCCACACTTAGACCCACCTGCTGCATCTTTGGCATTATGATACGACCAGTGAAAGGATCAAGAACAGCATTTCACTGTTTTTCTTTATCTGGCATTGACCATGTCATAATAAGCTATGTGTCCATACGTAACATAGAAGTGTATTTGTTTGCATGGGTGACTAAAACTGTTTAGAAAAAATGTTGGTTTTGAAGTGCTGAATATCTTGTTTTGTTTCTTTTTTTGCAGCTGATATCCAAAGATCTTTCATCTTGCCTTGCAGTATAACACTCACGTGAATTAACCACAGGTAAGCAATGTTAATGTAAAAGTCCTAGACTTTTTTCTCAATCAGTAGCTAAAAGAATCTCATTATTCTGAAATTTGGGTCTTAAATGTGTACATGTCTGTCCCTTTCCATTGTGACCCAATAATGTCTCCCTGTTTCAGTGTCATTGTCAGGTTTTCCCATACCCTTTGACTGATTTAACTAATTTAATGTGGGGCAAGGGGTGCTTATTTTATATGAACCTTTGTACTGTTTGGAAGTAAGATGTTATTATAGTATTAGTAGTGGTGGTAAGTGTAAATACTAACAATGATGGGCCTGGGACAGGTAGTGGTATTAATATTACTCTTAGGCTTACACTCATTAACAGTAAGGAAAAGCATGTTGGTACCGCCACTCTAGGCATAAACTGACCCTCAGCTTTATGGTACACTTGACAACAAAATATTTTTCAGTTTCCATATAAATGTGAGGCATTGTGGTGAAATCGGCCACTCATCAAAAGGGTGAAATAGAAGAAACCTACATTTTTCCAGCTGTTTAGCGATTTTTATTGAATTTTTAAAAGCAATTTTTATTTGCTCAACACGTTTTTTGTCCATTTACGAAACACATTTGTTAGGCATGCGGTGAAATCAGGCGCTCATCAGTTATGAAATCAATGAGACTCGAGTTTTACTGGCGATCCGAATTTTCTGTTTTTGGCTCAACACCATTTATGTCCATATAAAAATGCATGTCTGTGTGGATTTTCAAGGACACTCAAGCTTTGAAAGTCACTAAACTTTGGCTGCCATATTCTTGCTTATCTTACCTTTGACACCAGGGGACCCCCACCTCCTTTAATCGCAATTGGTAGCTACTCTTTCAAGGACAAGCGGGCTAACCCAGATTTCGGAGGTTTCCAGAAATCTTGACCTAGACCAAAAGTAGGCATTGCATAGCCCTATTTATCTATAGAAGTTTGGCTTCATTGGTGTGCATATTTGTTTGGTTAGAGAAAACTCACCTTGTCTTTTAAAGAAACCGAACAACGGGCAAAAACTTTACCGTCGATTTTCTCAAAAATTTTTTGGATAGCCCCCGTGTGTTTTAAAGTTAAAATGACCAAATTACACTGACTTCTGTTTTAAAAAGGTTTTTCTTTTGGTGCCAAATACATGACATGTAGAAACTTTAACGTGATACTAATACTCCATATTTCAAAACAAATTGAGGAGGCCCTGATTACACCATGTCGTGACACATGTGTGAATTTTACTGATAAATATTGATCAGAGGCACAAAAAATGTATTTTTTGCAGTTTTCATAGACTTTCAAGCTTTGGAAGTCGTCAAACTTTAGTGGCCATTTCTCGCTTATTTTACCTCTGTAACGAGGCGACCCCACCTCCTTCCAGCACAGTTTTCTCGACTTCTTTTCAAAATAGATTGATATTTTTTACACCAAATGCAAGGCAAATATACAAGCTTTAACCCCTTGACTGCGCTGTAAAGTATCTGATACGTCTCAATAATTCGCTGCTGTGTAAAGGTATCTCATGTGGTGGATAAAAAACCTGTTTTGTTATTTCAGCTTCTAATGGTTTTGAATAAAGAGATTGATATCCTTTAAAGTCAATCCTTTTAGCTGTGAGGTTATATCAATATATAGAGACTATTGGAAGGAAAGCGCGAGTTCTATAACTGAAAACAAAGCAAGATGTGTTGTTTTCTTACTTGTCCGCGAGGCGGTCAGACCCGACGCATCGACTTAGAATGCCTGTCTGTTTTTTGGCTTGTTCGCTTCACTTCAATTTTCTTTCCGTTGATATGTAATATATGTAGTGTGATGAGAATCGTGAGTTTTGTTACGAAAAAAGCAAAGCAAGATGTGTTGTCTTTCTAACACACATCATAGGAGATGGATCCAATGTGTAGAATCGGAGTGCTTGTTCAGTCTTAAGTATTTCAATTTGTTATCGTGTTGCTTGTTCTATGCAGGTCTTGTTAATGGATGAATTCATCTCATCAATTTTCTTTATCTTGGTATGTTTTTCTGATCTATTTCTATAATAACTGAACCGTCAGTTAAAGAATGAGAATGTGACCTGTGACGGCTTGTTGCACACAGTAGAATTTTCCTTAGCGTGTGGGGTGCATATATGCGGTTAGCAGTCAAGTGGTTAAGGGGATACAAATAACTCCATATGCCCAAGAATTAATGAATACCTGATTCCACCATGTAGTGACACATATTGTATTTGTGAGCATATGGGCAAACTACGGCTTGGGAGCAATGTCAGGTTGCCCTGTGGGTCGACCTAGTAATCAATAATGAATGTATTCTGCGGTGAGTTGGTAATAAATAGAAACAAAACTGTCTATTTTGAAAATTAAAATGATAGTTTCGGGTCTAACCAGATGCAACAGAACCAATATTGAATATATATATTATTTCATGAAATGCCCTTGAGTGACATCTGTGGTGTCATTTTTGGTCCTACATTTGAGAACTGTGGTAATGTTACTGGTTTCGGGCAGTTTTCTCATGCTTTGGCTTTCAAGATATTTATAAATTTATAATTACTTGATTGGGCCTGTGACTTGGACATGATAGCTGATGCATGGTATTATGGTATACATGAAAAGGGTCCCACCCTCATGATATTTTTGCAACTTGTCAAAATAGGACTTTTTTCTGAGATTAATCCAGGTTCTATAGGGTAATGGTGACAAGTGGGTTGTTTATTATTTAAAAACATTTTTTGAATATAGCTGAACTCATTCTCTGCTCATTTTTATACCAGCTTTCACCGGTTTTCTCTGTGCATCCGATCGTGAATGATAGGTGTGTATGTTCGGGAAGGATTTTCACAAGTTAAACGAAATAATAAGTAGGTAGTGTCATACATATTTTGAAAGGAAATAAAATGTAGCTTTGAAATGTGTAAAAAAAAAATTTGATTAGGCAAAGGACGTAATTGGTACTTGTCAGAGAACCCGTCCATCACATGGGAGCTAATAAAAAAACTAAATTTCAACTTAAATATAAATAATAAAATTTGTACTTAAAAAAAGATTCCTACGCTCATAAAATTAATGTTACATTCAATTCCCTTCATGTTTTGTATGAAATTGTACAATTCTAGCAGATTTTCTTATAAATTTTGTAACATCACTGTGACAATACCAAAAGCTGTAATGAATCAGAATTTGCCCGAGTTGCCCTTGCTGTCCAAGTCTAGATTTAGATTTAGACCTAGGTCTAGATTTAGTCTAGGTCATTATCCTCTTGATTTTCACTTCTCTTAGCTTTCTTTCCCTTTCATTTCCAAGCATATTCACTCTCTTCCCTACCTCCAACTATCGTCTTTGCTGTCACTGTAGATTTAGATCTACGAATTATGTCTCACACTTCTCACTATCGATTCAATCATCGCCCGAATCAGAATCTAAAACTAAGGAATCTAAGACAATATCATCTCTGTCCTCAAGTTTACTAAAGAAAAATTCCTAAGTCTGTTTTAATAAGTTATATGCCTATAGAGTCGTTTACTACCAGGCCCAGAAAACATAGAACTAGAAATGGATGTGGCCGTCTTTCGTGTTTTGGTTTCATAAACACGCCACACAAAATACAATAATTTCAACTTTCCACCCTCTTTTACGTAGTTATAGACACTATATTTCGTTGCAGGAAGATTCTACTTTTGAGATTTGTTTACATCAAAACTTAAAAATTATGGATCAAGCGTTTAAGAACTAAATAAAGTTTTAGTGTATAGCCTCTGCCGATGTATCGGTAATGGGGGGAAAATGGGAATGTTTCTGCTCACAGGTAGCATACATATATATAATTTATACAATCAAATCTGTCCCTGATCCAATCAAATGCCGAGGATAAAAGTGGTCATCGTACTGCCATCATTTTAGAAAAATACAGTATCCTTTATTTGTACAATTTTATAGGAGAGCTCTATACAACTGAATATATTGTTAACAAGAAAACATACTCTTTGCTGACATCCCAAGTATTTTTAAGAATACAATTTTGATAACTTCCTTATTATCTTTGAAGGAAATGTTTTCTAGGTAACAATGTTCAGTTTTTTAGCTTTCCTGTACAAACTAAAAACTGCATACTGTATTTTTGAAAATGATAACAGCATAGACAGGTGTTTAAAAAAAAAAAAAAATAATCTAGGAAAGTGCATTTTATAATTTTGAAGCTTGGAAAAAAAAAGTTAATTAGTTAAAATAAGTTGTCTTGAGTTGGGTTTTCTTTGAGTTTGACATTTAAAAAAATGTTGTTTTTTTCACAGGGTGTATTTTCCATTGCCAAATCTACATTTCAACACTGCCTTGCATATCTTTATCTCAGGTTCGTTGCTAGATCAATCACTTCCTTTAGTGTGCAAGTTTCTATCCTCCAGTCCTGTTTTATTTCGGTACATTAAAAAAATCGGTTGTATTCCTTTATATGGTCTTTTCTTCTTCCTTAACATGTCGCTACAACTTGACAACTGTGTATGTTCTGAAATTGTTTTTGAAGTAGCACATTGACCATAATTTATTTCTTTGTTGAAAACAAGAATGTTCTTTTTGAATATATGTGTAAGGCTTCTAGAGGTCCAAGTCTAGCTGATTTTCTTTACTAGTCGTAATTAGTAAAAGAATGGGTCCAGAAGATTAATTTTAAAAAATTACACTTGTTTGCCAGTAATGAAGTTACTTTCATAATTTGGAGTTGTCCGTCCATTGAGCAATAACATTTGTACCACAGTGACTATGTTGTGCAGGAAATTGCTTAAATATTGCTGCTTTTATGTAGATGTATTTTCACGGCTTGAAAGAGCTATTTTCGACATTATAGTAATTTACATCTTGAAAAGTTCTTTTTCAGCCCTTTGGAAAATTTATAATTGGATTCTTACTTGTCGAACATTGTTTTGGTGTTTCTTCAAACTTCAAAGTTTTTTCCCCTTCTATGAGTATACAAAGTGTGACTTTTGTGTTTCTTTTCATCTTTACAGTTTTCAGAAATCAAGTCACAAAAGGGAAGGGGGTTGATGGTAAGTTTGTTAATTGCTCCAGATTAAGTTAAGCAGGGCCGCCCTTTCGAATTTGGTGGAATTGTCACGATTTTTATTCAATTTTACGAAAACACTACAACCCCTGTCCCAGGCACTTTGGGGAAGAAGACGATTCATGTTTATATTGTGAATTTTAAGCCAGATTTACTAATTTTTTATTTGCTGATTACTAAAACATACATATGCTGGTGGGTGGACAGCCATGGTTAAGTCAAGGTATTACAAAATTTTCCATTGGTGTATGTTCAAGAACTTGGATTGTATTCTCACTGAACCTAAGGTTGCCGTCCTTTTATGTCGTAGTGTAGTAGTTTTCACAGGTCATTTTTTTCTACCAATTATCTCAGAACATTTGGGATTTCATAGCTTACAATTGAAAGAATTGATTTGTAGGGAGGTGTGCATTGCTTTGACTTGCCTGAAATTTTGTTGCAGAAATCGTCTCAGTCATGTGTATTTACATATTTTCTGTTCAGATTTAAAGAAAATTTATTTTTTGGTAGAATTGATTTGTAACTGATCCTGAATTACTTAAAATTATTTCACAGATTTCTGGGTCCACGCCATATTGTCTTGGTAAGTATTCACAGGTTTTAAAGATGCTATGGTGGGAATGGCTGCTTAAATTTCTTTTTCTCGGGTCGTTGTCTTACTTTCCCTCACATTTCGCTCTTGCGGTCATTTTTTACTCTGACCGAATGGCTCTCAACAATACTTATTTATTATGCTGTTTTAAGAAGTATATAGTTTGTGGGGTCTTGGTGAATATTTATTAGGTGGACTTTCTTCATTTGTGGTCATGTTATCTACTTGTATATATACTTTCAAAATGTTATCAGTAGTTTTTGTGTATTCCTTTGGCTGCATGACTTTCTTTTCTTATTTTTCAGGTATCATTCCATATTAAAGGCCAGCAATCAGAGCATTACTGTGAAAAGTGCCTACTGGGTAAGGCCCCTTATTTGTGTAAGGGTATTGTATTGTTGCGGGTTTCACGGTGAGGACCCACAGGTTTCCCACTTTCCCAATTTTTTTCAGGATTATGAACTTTTTCAAAAGGTTATGTATTTTGTATCAATGGAAAGGTCTTTCAAAGAGGAATTTTTAAAAGTTAGGGAGACAGCAAAGGCTTGTGAAAAAAGTTATTTAATAAAATGTAACCTTAACTTGGTGCAAACAGTACAATCCATGAATATCACCAAATTCTGTATAATAATCCATTTAATTGAATTCACTGTCCACAAAAATCATGTACACAATATATGAAAATAATAGTAATAAAAATAATCAATAAAAAGGGAATAACTAAAAGAAAAAAAAAATCAGTTGATAAAATGGCTCACAACGTTGGGACAGCCTGTAAGACCACGAAATCATCTGCGACGATCTGGGCAGCTCAAAGCTTTATCGGTATCAAACAAGACAATCACAAAGAGAACACTCTATTTTTGTCCCTAATGTCATTTGATTACTTCCTACACATGCCGCACGTTGTGTTGCAGTCTTTCAATCAATATAAACATAATAAATATGACAGATAAGCGTTTGTAATTGGGTTGGATTTGTAATGCGTTGGAAAACAAGACAAAACATCCACCTCATCGAAAAGGACGCTAAAGAATGAAAGAAGGGCGCCAAACGGAAGTAGTTTTTAGCCTCGGCTTCGCGGAAAGCCCTCGTGATTTTCCGTAAATCTCTGAGAAATGCCGGTCGCGGACTTAAGTTGTCGGAGACTTAGCGGGAGGGGTGCTTTACAAAATACTTTGGAATCTACTAATAATTTCTTCAATTTTCGCAAATTACGGCTAAAACCGATGTAGAAATGAGTATTGGGTAGTGTGAGCATAAAAACTTCCCTTCATTTTGCTTTTGGAAGTAAATTTAGCACTTCACATAAGAGTCAAAATGTAAGACTTACACCCGCCATTTACGACCACCATTTCGCTCTGTCCGTTGCCGTTTCAAACCGGTGCTCCATTTCGTTTTTTTCACTAATCACATTAGAAAATCGTTCTTCTAGGGTGTTCTAGCCATTTTTGGAGAAAATGTAGCTTAGTATGCCTTTTAAAACAAAAATTGACTCGCGAACATCGGGAAACGCTATAAGTCTAAATATTAACGTCCGTGACCGTGTTAAGCAAAATATCAAAACGAAATAAAGTCAACATTTGCTTTTTATTCACATGTTTATTGGGCACATAAACAATCAAAACAACACAAATTGAACACAAAAATCCTTACCGTGAATTCCGCCTTGTTCTTTCTCGAATGAAAGCCTTTAAGCTCACTTTAGATATTTGCAAAATGTTCTTATTTAATTTCATGAGGTAAAGCAAAAGTCATTGTGGGTCACAGTGTATTAGTGTCACATATGAGTTTTTGATATGGTCAAATCATGATACATACTACAGGCCTTTGTGTTTGTTCAAAACATGGTTAAAACAGACCTGCCACTCATCCCGATTTAATCGGGATATCCCGATTTTTTGTCCCAAATCTCAAACATCCCGATTTTCCCGATTTCGATCGCCGGTATCCTGATTTTTTGTCGTTGCGTCTGTTGCGTCCGATTCTTAGAAAAAAATATAAAAAGTTCTGCAATCTCTTTTGTTTGGAAATACCGATTGGACTTTTTATCTGCAGGTACTTGGAACGCGATTTTCTAAAGCATCTATGCCGAATCTAGATCTAGATCTAGTAGTTGACTCATGTACGTTATTTCAACTAAAATCGGCCTAGTTTCAAACGCTCATTCGCATTTCGTGACATGACCTCGTACGTGTGAGTAGCGCGTGTGTCGGGGACCATCGGTTGTCGGGGTCAACAAAGTTCATTCACACCGGTCGCGTTGGTCGAGGTGTTTTTCGGGACTTCAGTGTGGGACGACCGAGGGGAGGGGGGGGGAAGTTGTTTTGACACTTGGGGTTAGAGTGCGTGCCGTGACACAGGTACTAATTAAGGGGAAAGGAATAAGAAGGGGAAAAAATGAACAACCTTGGCGCGATCCTTTTTTCGATGTGATGAAAGTCAAACGTTGTTAAAACACGGGCGTTTTGCGTGGATGATTGGAGTTACGTGTCAGCTATTTTCAAGACTACGAGTGTTTCAGCAAAGCTGCAACCTTCGCTCCCCCAGTCTATCCAACTTCGACTGAGTACATATATGCTGTCTTTCAGTTTTCCCTCTCTTTAGAGGCTCAGACGTGAACCTATTCCTGCAAAAGTTTTGTCTTGCATACTTGCCTCATAAAAGGGAACCAGGACACCCCCCCCCCCCCACCACCCCGTGCCCTTTATGACTGATTTGCCGTTGATCCCGATTTTTTTCACCAGATCCTGGTTTTTTAAACTCAGAAATCCTGATTTTTAGATTTCATAGAGTGGCAGGTCTGTTAAAATAGTCAATTGGCATGTAGTTTTAAAAACTTATTCTTGTATTTCCTTTCTAGGGCATTGTAGCGTTTCATATTCAATTTATAATCTGGTGTCTAAATTAACACTTCTCTATCCCCAACAGTTGCTGTAAAATTCCTTTTTTTTTTCCCTCACATGATAGAAAACCAGTGGTAATTTGGTCTTCTTGATGGGTCATGCTGATTTCGGGGCTCGTCTAATATAAATGTTGAGTGTACTGCCATGAGATTTTCCTGTCCAATTGTTACAGAGTATGCTTATGACAGAGTTTTATATTGTTATATTTATTTAATGCACCTCATTAAGTGGGTTGTTAAAGGTTTTTGTTTGAAAAAGCGAGGTTATTGAAGTTGGGGAATTTGTATAGTTGGTTTATTGTTTATGAAGAAATTCATGGTCGGGTTAAAAATTTACAGTGTTGTCAATTCAAATTCAAATGCTAATGTTTCTCTTTAATGAATGATAGTTTATCTGGATCCAAATTAAAACTGCTTGTATTGGCAGTGTGTCAACTAATTTACATTTTTATCTCTGTTCTTAGGTTCAACACATCAGCCTCAGTCTTGTTGGCTCATTGCAACAGCTCTCACATTGACCATATTCATGTGTCCTTAATTTGTGTTAAAAATGCAGCAGCAAGGTATGCACATGTGTAAAAGTGTATCGTTTGTTGTATCTCACATAAACACCCTTTCTTTCATAAGAAACTTTTCACTGCTCTCGCTTTCCAGTGACCTAGTGGCTAGATTCGCCCCATTGTGAACGGTAAATTTACAGGGATACTATGACATTTTCCCTATGTGTATGTTGAAGAGATAAAAGTACTTGGCACTGGTAATGAAGTAAAAAATTTCCATGCACTTAAAGACAAATGATTCCCATTGCAGATTGTAAAATGAAGGAACTGGAATATGGAAAGTCTTAATACATACTTTTCTGTTCTCAGTCATGAAACGCAACATGTCGTCAGATATGGGCTGGGGCATTGGAGAAGGAGGAGGTTGGGGCCAGCATACATCCGCTCCAGGCAGTGGGTCTTGGACATCCACCGCCAGTGAGTTTCAATTCAAAACAATCAATTTCATGGAAGAAAAGAGAATAATGAAGTCTTCCTAAGCTTCGTGAATATTTAAAAGTGTTCATATTTTATGTTTTACGTTTCTTGACGTCTTGCGATTTTTTTTCTCTCGTTTCTTTCACATTTTTATTATTGCAATTGTTTGTTCATGCGCTGATTTGTGAGAAGAAAAAAAAAAGAAGAAAGGGGCCTCCTTTTTTTATGTCCAGGTCACTGGAATGCCACTCATGATATAACCATTTACTTTTTTGTACAATTTTCACGACTTTCTCCTTTGTAAAATTTGGTGTTGTTTTGAAATAGTTCTGCATATCTGTATAATTCAGTAGTGAAATGCTGTGTTTTTTAACATTCCCTGTTTTCAAAGTATGGTTGGTGGCATGAGATGCTCTGTGAGTTTATATTTTGTTGTCATTTAACATCTCACTAAGATTTTTGACACATTTCATCTCTGTGCTTCCCATCTTTCACCATGCCATTTGAAGGAAGTCCATTGTTATCTGACAGTAATGTTTTTGGAAATTTGAGGAAAATTACCTGAAAAATGATGCCTGTGCGGAAAAAAAATACTTTTATTATAATTGACTTTTGGAGTTTTTTTATTTAGGACTGGATAAATTTGATTCTTGCCAGATCTTCTAGGCATGGCGTGAAACAAGAATTGGCCACTTGTAATGATCTAGTGTTAATATTTTGGTTGAATGAAACGTCTGCTGTTAATGTCTGGGCTGCTATCAGTTGACCTTGTTTGGTTTATGAAAATGAAAGAACATATTTGTGGAATAGATCTTATTTTCAGTGAAAATTTTTATCGTTTTGTTTTGGGAGCACTTGTATAATTTTATTATGTTCAAATCAAAACATTTTTTTGTGTGTTAAAGAGTATGTGGACTGCCATTGATGTTCAGTTTATTTTTTAAAAAAACCCTCCATTTTTGTAAAGTTGACTAATGGTTTAAGAAATGTAAACAGTGATCTCATGCCACTACCTATGTTATCTTCGGATGTCACCTTGTGTATCAAACACTTGTTGTCTTGTATGTGCAATATTTTCTTGGGTATTTGCAGGAGAAACTAATAATCCACTGTAGTTTTAGTGTAATGATAAGGAAGTTGGGTTCTGAGATGCCGCCCACCCAGATTTAATGTGTTTAATTTTTCCTTGGTAAAAACCATTTATCACATTTTGTCTGCTGATAAGGTACCTTTGGTTTTGATGGTTCAAAGCCACAGGAATCTTGGGTTCCATGTTCAATAATGCCTATACCAACTATTGTTCAGTTTGCTTGTCGTATGGGAATTCCCCAAGCACAGTCAAACCTCGTTATGCTGCCTACTTTTGGATGAGCTTGAAGTTGACCCTACAGCGGAGTTGGCGGTATAATGTTTCTTGATGCTCTTTATTGAACAGTGAGTTTGGGCTACATTAAAGGGAAAAAACCCCAATGTAGACATTGAAAGTTCCAAATTAATGTGGCAGACCTGCTGCTTATCTTGATTTAATCAAGATATCTCTCCCCCCCCCCCCCCCCCCCCCAACCTTAAGCATCCCATTGTCCCGATTTCGATCACATGTATCCGGATTTTTGGGTTCTGGCTTTTGGGACAGATTTTTCAAAAAACCTACTCTGCTTTCTTCTCTGTCTGAGGAACTTTTTGTCAGCAGGAACTCGAGCACTGTTTTCCGAAATATCGATGCAGGATTTAGTAGTTAACTCACCCCCAGTTGTGTTGGATCTTTGCTTGCGCATGTTATTTCAACAATAACGAGAGTAGTATCGGTTTTGCGTTCCGACTTGGGACATTCTCCAAATCTGTTTTAGTTTTTGTATCCCCTCAGAATCTGCGACATACAAATGATTGAAAGTAACAGCAGAATTTTTAAAACAGCTTTGTCCGAGCTCTGGTTAGTCTGGCCAGTCAAACCCGCCGGTAAAACAGTTTCAATTGCGTTTGCATCACATGAAATAACTTTGGCGTATGTCGGGGCCATTGATGGGGGTCAGCTCAAGTTCGTGCACACTGGTTGAAGTGTCTTAACACTTAAACTAGGAGTGCTTGACGTGATAATTTAGGATTTAAAAAATATGATATATTTAGATACCATGAATTTTTTTAGTCATTTGACTGTCATCTTGGTAATTTGTCGTTGACCCCGATTTTTTACACCAAATAACCCCCATATATTCTGATTTTTAAATTTCATAGCGTGAAGTCGTGGTGTTCTACCATATCTAACATATTAAAATTTTGAAATTTTGTCTCTTCCCCCCCAAAGGGTTGCATCTCAGAAGCCAGATCACTGTTGATGAAAACACTTAGACTGGTTTCCTTTTTAAAAAAAAATTCTGAGGCATTCGTATAAGACATAATTGGGTGAATAAGTGAAGATTAGGTGCAACCATTGTACTATGATTTCCCAAAGTATTGATGGTGAGGGAGCTTCATATGTTTCTAATTTTCCTCTTTAAAATTGTGATGTTAGAGCGTGGGTATTTGTGTCACTATTGTTTTCCTTGTGTTTAATTAGCAGGGGCAGGACAAGGGTTTATATCTTATATTCCAGTGTATAATTTTATAAGAAGGTGGGTGAACATGCTTCATTGGAAGCATTATCTAGTGGACATTTTTTTAGAACTCCAATGTTCAAGACAGTTGTAATCAATCATAATTTTGCTAAAGTTAAAAATGACCTGTCCCATAAGGTCCATTGCAGGGCATAGGGCATTATGAGGAAAAACATATGGAAACAAGGGCATGTTGTAGAAAGTGAAGTGTGAGCTTAATGAAAAATTCTTCTTTGTCACTCCCCCCCACCCAATTCAGATTTTATATGTCATGAGTAAAGGATTGCCTTTGGTTTAATCAATGTGGATGTGCTGTGCACTTCTCAGTATGGGGGTTGTACACTATTTTTCATCAGGCAAGTTTATACCGTTTTTTTTGTGGGTTTTTTTGTGCGGTGCTTGTTGCATAGTGACCGGTTAATAACTGGAGTCCTGCTTTTAGCATCTTGATAATACTATGCCCGTTTTATTTTATTTTCTCTTTCTTCCATATTCCATTATGAATTTGTCAGGAGGTCCAAGGGTTAGCTTTAGATTACGAAGATTGTGTTTTGACAGTTACGTGTGATAATGCAGGGTTGTAAGTGTGCAGACATTTTCTGTGTGGCTTTTGTTTTAATGTTTGTACTCGTTTGTGTTGTTGTTAGAATGAATTTTTTCACTATCGTAGATCAGGGTTTCTTAACCTAAAAAGCTGCTAGGTTCTGGTTGCTGAAAGTTTCTTGTGGACCACTTTCCAAAGTAAGGGAGGGGCATTACGAAAACAGAATGTACTCTGGTTTGGATGCTTTTCAACTCACTGAGTGGTACTTTGAGGTCTGCATGTTGAGGAACCCTGCTATAGATGTTGTATTCTAACCAATATGGCTGGTTTCGTGTTTATGATTTCTGAAGAGTGTAGTGTAATTAAGCTGAGTTTGCAAATTGCCAAGTCAGTTTTCTAAAGTCTTTGTAGGCCCAAAGAATGTGGTGATAAAAAAAATTCAGTGTTGGTGTATGTATTCGACAATTGTCTTTGACTAGAGAGCAGTTATCTTGAATTTGTTTCTTCTTCTTGTATTTTTATTGAAAATTTGTTAAAGCATGTGTATGCGCTTTTTTTTCCCCTTAAAAATTTTTAAAAATGTTTTTCTTTTCTTTTTTATTAGGTGAAGAATTAAGATCAGTGTATAGCCTTGCAGAATTGAACATAGAACATTATTGTTTTTATTTTCGCTCCCTAGTTTTTTAACTGATGTGGAATAAGAAATTGGAGTGCCTGATGACTATTTAAAAATATTTTACTGGAATTGAGAAAAAGAATGACAGTGCTGATGTAGTGTTTCTGAATGCAAATACATGTACCTTGGTTTGAGCCCCAGTAACAAGTTTCGATCCTTGTTTTCTATCAAGGTTTTTCTCGCTAGCTCATGAACATCATTGCCCCTGATATACATAGCTATTTTCACTTTGAAATGGGATTTAAGTCCTTTTCAGTTAGACAAATGTCCCAGCTATGGGCCTAAAAGAAATATGAAGCAAATGTAAAGGACACCATTTGTATTCAAAATTTTGTTTTGGTTTGATGTGTAAATTTTAAAAAACTTAAATTTTTTTAATGCGTTGCTCATCTTGTGATCCTCAAAATCAATATTCTCTCTGCACTGTTCTGTTTTAAACAAAAATAATTTTTAAAAATTCTGTAACACAAGCTTTATTATTGTGTTAAGTCATTGAAGTACAGATTATTATTGCTGATGTTCCTTTTTTTTTTGTCATGCAGGACAAGTCATGACTAGTTTCCATGGTAATTTCAGTTGTCTCTTTTGATAAAGACCAATCTTTACACTTTCCTATTCTGGTTGCTTGTAGCAAAGGGCGATTATTAATGAAAGAATTGTTCTTGAACGTTTTCTCCAGAGCACTAATGTTTGTTTCATCAATTCTTCCACAGACCAAGACAATTCATCCTCTAGCTGGCAAGCCATGAGCAAGTCTGATAATGCATCGGATGCTGGGGATGATGCATCGTCAGTCAAGTCTGGTTCCACCATCACAAATTCAAGCAATATTAATCCACAGCAGTCACAGGATTCCACCAGCACAACATCAGCAGTTAGCTCTTCTAGTCCATGGAGTGCCAATCCCTCTCTCTCAGGCATGGATTCAGGTCCATGGGGAAACAGCAGCTCTCCAGCTCCCACCAGTTTAAACTCGCTTGGTTGGAATGCTAATCCCGCTAGTCTTTCTCTGAATAGTAATCAAGGGCATAATAACAGTATGCAACCGGGGCCTAGTGTCATAGGTAGCAGTTCAAGTTTCAACTCCACCAGTACTGCCTCAAGTGGCTGGCCGACAGGGATGTCTGGAAGCAGCATGGCCAGCACCTCGTCATTGCCCCCTAATGTCAACACTGGGATGCCATCTGGGAATCTCTCCTCTCAGTGGCCAGGTAGCAACATGCTGGGAAAGATGGGAGATTTTCAGAAAACTTCTGATGCTGCATGGAATAACCCCACTTCTTCTATTATGGAAAATAAAGATCTAAGTGGAAGTTCAGACCCAAGAATGTGGGGCATGGTTGACAAGACTGGAGACCAGAATTGGGATCCCCCAAAGTCTCATTGGGGGAATACCCCTATCGCTGGATCGGGAGACCAAGGTGCTAGTAATGGCACTGAACTTTCGTTTGCACAAGCCACTCTGAAAGGACTAAAAGTGCCCCCTTCCGCAGGTGGTGCACCGCCGAGTGGCATGACTTCTCGCCAAGAAGAAATTCTCCGAGCCATTGAGAATCATGAGGGTTGGGGCTCTCGTCCTGTCCGGCAGGATACAAGTTGGGATATTGACAACTCTCCCAAATCCCATCGAAAGTTCACTTCTGACAACAGTGCCGGAGCGTCTAATGTCTGGAACAATAGCAATGGAACTGCCATTTGGGAAGCCGTCCGGGAAAATCAAGGCAGCAATTGGGCTGGGGCTAGTGGGGGTGGTGCAAGTGGTAATACTTGGAACGCTGATAAAGATCAAGGTTGGGGTGGTCCTCCCAAACCACAGGATCCCAACACTTGGGGTGTTAGTGGTGCTGGTGGAAATGGAGATCCCAAATCTTTTGGAACTTGGGAGGGTGGTGGTGCTGGGGATGCCTCTAATAAAATGTGGGGTGGTCAGAAGACGGTAATAGGTTCCTGGGGTGAAGTTCCTAATGTCCAACGGTCCACCAGCATTTCGTCGTGGGGTGATGATGGAGAAACCGGCAGCTGGGAAGATCAACGCCGCATCACGGGCGGCATGAGCAGCATGCAGGGTATGGTACCCCCAAGTCCTGGAATGAACGCCCCTAGTATGGCTGGAATGATGCCCCAGGGTGTGCCAGGTATGAACATGGCAGGAATAGGGGCCGACTCGACGCCATGGAATTCTGCTAATGCTGCTGCCATGAGTCGCCCAAAAATGGATGAGCCATGGAACAAGCCACCTCCCAAGATATCAGGTTGGGGCGATCCCACCCAGGATGGAGTCAAAGTTGATGACGGAACAGGAATCTGGGCTGCCAACGCTCCCAAACAAGTAATAACCATTAAATAAAAATTTCATAGCTGCCACTTTCCCACTAAATAGCGGAAACTCCGCTTCATCTAGCTTTTCACCGCTACTTTCCTCCTTCCTCCGCTGGACCGTGCTCGGTCGCAAATTGCGATGCTTTTTTTTACTCACGGAAAACACCGAACCGGGAGTGAGACAAAAATGCGCCTTGCGCATGTCCGCCCGTATTTTCTTTCTTCTGTTCTGTACCTGCCTAGCGCAAGTTTCACATTGTTTATTGTGGAGCGACAGTATTGATCGAGCACCGGGATGATGGCGCGCTGAGTTGTCATTGAAAACGGCAGAAATTCGACAGAAATTGATGCAAAATGCAAAAATAAATGCAGCTGTATTGAGAAAGATTAAGAAGCAGTCGGTGTGCGACTTGAAAAGTTCTTCAGAAAAATTGAACAAGCCGGGTGCTGCACTTTGCGTTAGGTGTGATATAAAGAAATTGTATAGTGAAGTGGCAAAGGTGGTGCCTCCTTAATTCAATACTGCTCTACATCGGTGCACGAGTTGAAAATGAAAATCTTTTTATGAGACACTAGCTGGCAACAAACACTGGTGAGTGGGTCAAATTCTTGTTGGTCAACCAAGTGTCATGGGGTTTTTATTTTTTAAAATACATTTTAATTCGGCATGGTTAACAAATATGACACTTTTCCCTTCCCATGACACTTTTCCCTTCCCAAAACAGATGTTAGACCTGCATGTTTGCTGACAATTGTCTGAAATCTGACAATCGCAACCCGATCCGCGAGCCGGCCGATGCTATCGCCAGGCCCACCTGTATCAGCCAATGTGCGAAGTGCAAGGCCTGGCCGACTGCCAGCGCTCCCTTTTTCTCCCGTCGGCTTTGTCGATACTTTCGTTTTCGTGCCGACGTCGGCGTTTCCGACATAATTGTCGGAATCTGAGTAGAAATGCGAATACGAAAAAGGACGACGACCTAAATTATCTACTTTCAGTTTTGTGCTCGAGCGGCCATTTTGAATTTCGTTTGTTGACTAATTCAATTGTTCAGATCGTGTGGATTCATTCAAGTCCGACTCACTTGTTCTAATAGAATCTAGATCTAGATCTAGATTATAGATCATTATAGACCTCAATGGAGGATTCATATTCCAATTCTATTGTGTCAAACCCTATCATAGGTTGTGCTGTAATATTAATGTTGATAAAAAGCATTTCATCAGGTGCGTGAATTATTTATTTATTTAGAATCAAGACTCAGCTGAGTCCATCTGTTCGGAATTGGATGCGGATTTCTAGTTCAAGGCCTATTCCTATTCACTTGTTCTACAAGATCTAGATCTAGATTGATTTAGATTACTAGATGTAAATGGGGGATTCATATTCCAATTCTGTTGTGTTAATATATCAAACCCTATTATAGCAATGTAAATGTAGGCCATATTATGCTCCTTGTTTGTTTTGGAGTGTGGTTTTTAAAATTTTTTTCATTTTGGACTTGTGCTGGCCTTTTTACATGAGGCCCGTTGCAGGTTCTTTTTTTGGGGTAGGGTTAGGTCTCTTCTTTATTGTGTTTGTTGGGGTGGTCGCTCGTTACTCGGAAGTCCTTCCTTATATGACACCCACAAAAGCGCTTTTTTTGGGGGGGGGGGTTGCGCAAAATTTTCTGACAATCTGGTTGAGGTTCACATGCAGGTCTAAATACATTGCCTCTGGATCTCACTGGTTTTACTCTGGCTTTCGGAGAGTGCACGTACGCCTTCGCGTGAATTTCCTCTTTTTTTAAATTCCTGAGTGGCAGCTATGTATTTTACAAGTGTTTTAGTTAGTGGTATTTTTTTTTACCTCCATTAAAAAATTTTTGGGAAAGATAAACGGGGGGGCGCAATGATGATAATGATGAGTGTTAAATTTGAATGTGGGTAAATGCTAGTATAGCATGCTTGTTTTGTTAGTATATTTGCTGTTCGTCCCAATTTGAATGTTCCTTGTATTTACTTCTGTTAGGGCATATCTTATTAATACTTGAATAGTTACCTCCTCAGGCTAAAACCTCAGGTTGGGGAGACGCAGGACCCCAGGGTCAGTGGAATTCTGCTGTCGGTGCTAAACCAAAGGCTCCTGGTGGCTGGGATGAGGCCTCATGGGCCATGGCTCAGAGGACTAAGGTGAGAAGAGTTGTGTAATAGGTGGATAATGTTAAATTTGTCGACAGCTTCTAAGTAAATGAAACCATATGCCAATACAGTATAACATGCACAGGTTTAACACAGAAGACTCAAAGTCACACATCTGTCGAACTGTGCCTGCGGTCCTGGTTAAAAAAAAATCTTTGTAAGATGTCCCTTGAACTATAGATCGTGGGTGGTTGGCGAGTGCTCTAGTGTGATTTTCTCCTTCTTTCTGATCAACATTTATCGTCTGTATCTCTCCTCCTTTTTTGTGTATGTTACTCTTGTAACACATTTATTCTTCGGCACTTATATGACCTTATTGTGTTGCAAGTCCGCAAAACTCTTACTAAAACTAAACTGTCGTAGAACTATGGATCCCTCGAACTACCAAGGCCAGTTCCGACAAAAATCGAACTATCTGTGTGACACAGCATTTAATATTTTTTTTGTTTCTTCAGCAGTCCCAAAGTGGTCCATGATTATTGCTTGGTGTTCAAATATTTTATGTTCATGAAATTGAAGAGTCGAATAATGCGCTCATTTAGTTGAAAATAGCCTGAATTGTTGTGGAAACCTTTAACCTTGAGTTGCTTGATCCAGTGGTTGGTTTCCTAGTACCCCCAAAGATTGTTTCATGTAAAAAAAAAAAAGTATTTTTTTAACTTTTGCTCCGTGCATTGAAATTGTCTATATGAGTCTTCTTACTCTCTTCTCTCCCTCCTCAGCAAATACCTCCTAAGTATATGAATGCAAGCAGCAATCCTCCTACTCAGATGAGATCTAAGCTTCTTCAACACTTAATGGATATGGGATACAGGGTGAGTTGTTAAAAATTAACCAAGGATTCATTGAATGTATTTTCTCACAAAGAAGCAATGAAAGTAGAGCAATTTTCTCAATTTGCTTTTATTTGCAAAGTAACAAATTTTATATAAGAAATGTAAGCTGTGCAGTGCTTCCACTCTTCTGTATTTTTACGGAAATCCATACTTTCTGCCTGTTCCGTACTTGTTCCTCCATCATTATCAACTCCCTCCGTAAAAAGACTGTGACAGCGTGGGACTAGATATCTACTGAAATTCCGTAACAATAGATCCGTACTCGCCTTCGTATCATCTTGTATAAGCTACAGATATTTACGGTAATTCTCTCGGCATCAAGTTAATGTTATAGAGACCTGCCAGATTGCGCATTTCCTGCAATCGGCCATTATTCCGCTACGCCCCATGCGTTCATTACGGGTTGGTTGGAAGTACATTTTTACCTGCAGATTGATCAAAATCTGGCGAACTTTTTGGTCCAATTTCCCCCTTTCTATCATTCACTCATTTCGCCTGTCTTTGGATTGTTGCCGCGGCTGGAAAATATGCGCGTTGATCAAGTAAATTGACTTGTGGTCTTAGAAAATTACTGTCAGAAAGAAATTGGTTGCCAATTTATTGTCTAGATCAAGATCTAGAGAAATTATCAATGCGAAAATTCTACGGCATGAGAACGCGATAAGGGTCGCAATGAAATAAATTAGATTTAGATCGATGCTAAAACTATAAAAATCAAGAATAATTCGAAGTGGTGTTCGGAGGTTGTGACATGCGACATTCAGAAGTGAAAATTATGGAAAATTAAGGTATACGCTGGGTAACTGTATTGTGAAGGTGCACATCTATTCTTTGTTCCTAGGTTTGCCTTCTATCAATCGTGCGATGACAAAATAAGTTAATTATAGTAGTAATGGAAGGGGAACCTGCTTTTAAACATTGCCATCAATGGAAAGATATGCAGATCCAGGTGAAAAAATCAAACAAGACAAAATGTTGGGGAACATAAATGTTACGGGTTGTAGGCAATCTCTTCGAACAGGCTCCCTTATGCCATTTTTAACTGTCCCTCGACCCTGCTGGGGCCCCCAGACCCCCGGCAGAATTTTCTTTACTTTTCAGCTTCAGCTGGTGGAAGCACTGGCTGTGACTGGATACATTTTCTGTTAATTAAAACTACAATACTGTTAAATTTGTAAAGCTATTTCCTTCCTTGGGGTACCATAGAACATTTCTTCAAGTTAACTAGTGTACAATCTTTCCTCATTAATTTTTCTAAAGGGTTCATGCCATCTGACATGTTTTATGTGCACATTTTTACCAGGTATATTTTTTGTTGGAATCCATTACTCAGTGATTCCAGTCTTCCGCAATTTTGCGGATTTCCGCAAATGGCAAAATTTGCATGAAATTATTTTAAAAATTTTTTTGTCAAAAATGCGAAATAAAACATTTCCGTAATTACTGTCTACAATAGCCAACCCATACCGGAAGTGCTCTTTATTTGAAAGTATAGACAGTGTCTTTCACTTTCACTTTCTAAAGCACAAGAAGCAGAGCACCAGCTCTGTAAACAAGAGGAAGAAATGACGATTGCGGTTCAATTATGTTCAATAGATCTTGGGCCTGCCAAGAAAAGGAAACTCTGAAGAGAGCTTAGATTTTTTTTTTATCAGGCTTGTTTTTTTTGTAAATATTGCTGTCAAGCTATTTAGATCTAGAATCTAGATCTCTAGAAAATCTAGCTGTTGTTATACTATTATTTTGTATTAGGATTCTAGATATACACATGGTGCAAACCAAGGATTCTAGATGTGCACATTATGGTGCCAACCAAAACAAGCTGAAAAAATTGAACATTAACTGTCGAGTTTTATAGTAGCTGTTATACTACTGTTGTGGATGTACAGTCTCGGTACAAGATAGAAAGTATGGCTTTGGATTTAGATTCTATATGGATTAACACCAGCAAAAAATTATGTATGCAAGGTATTTTTTTTGCTCCCTTATTTTCTTGTTAAATTTAGGCTTGAATAGCTAGAAATGGCATACTTAGTATGCTCTGAAACCTAAAATTCTCAAACATAAAGGGGTTGCTGTCCCCCTTGAACCCCCTGCCAGGCCGCTGCCCTGGACCCGAAAATCCTCGAAAAATGACATCAGCTGCTGGAAGCTCTGATTACTTGTCCACCAGTACTTGTACATGCTCACATCTTTCACTTTTCTATTATACTGCATCACTGTAATCTGTTCCTTTTTTTTTTTTTTGGCCTGGTACGTGCTCCTTGGGGTGGAATAACATATTTGTATTTACGATTTTGTTTGCAGAAAGAAGAAGCTCAAAATGCATTGATCACGAACAACATGAATCTGGAGTTGGCTATCAGTAAGTCCCTTTTGTTCATTTGTTGTTTGTGCTGTTACTGATTTTTTTCCATATATTTTGTGTAATTTCTAATTTTGGAATCCTCAGTTGTATAAAAGTTAAATTTGATTGTCAAAGATAACTTTCCTAAGCATTATTAGTGAGATGGTGTTCCACTAGGTTGATCCTATGTCAGGGTGTCCAGCAAAGTCGTAAAATTCTCATAGGTCAAGATTTGTCATTGCCTTCCAGTGCTTCTAGCTGGTAACAGTAGTAGCGCCACAGGGTGCTTCTAATTGTAAATAATTGAAAAGATTTACTTGGTGTGTGGACAGAAAGCTGGCTAGCACCGAGTTTGGTTTGTGCTCTTGCCCTTAGGATTCTTATGAGGGAAATGTGAACTTGCATATTTTTTTGGGCTTATTGCGCATTTGTGTAAATTTAATTCAGTTGTGAGTGTGTCTTTAACTCAGGGTGTTTTCTACCCTTTTTGTTGCTTGTTAGCATTGAATTTATAATCTTGCAGGATGGATGAAATTGCTGCTTTTGCAGATGGGGGGAGGCTGGGGTTATTTTGGGGCACTTTTAATATCGGAAAACAAATGGCAATACAAATGCTGGAAACAAAAAAAGAGTAAGGTCTTATGTTCATGTGATCAACTTTCTATGAGCAATATTTTCTCTATAAATATATTGTAATTCAAGTTTTGCAGTGGGTTTGTTAATGTTATGTGCAGCAGCAACATAAAAAATATTACATTTAACACTGTTAGACATTTATTTTTGTTTTCTTTGTCTTCAGATGATCTCAAAACTAATAATGGCATGCAAAGGAAAGACCTGGAGATGGATATGTTTCAGGCAAATGGGCCACAGAGCAGAATGCCATATATGTCCAAAGGTGGACTGGGAGTCGACGACATGGGTGATACCCACCCTGACCAAGTGCCTAATTTCAGTACAAATTTGCAGAATACTCCTTTCCCCAATGCTCAAGCACCTAATCAGCCATTCATTCAAGGCAATGCTAGTCTGCCTCCCTCTAGTCTGAATCACAATTCCAGTATTAACCCCAACCTTCAGCAGAAACTAATGCAGAAAATGCAGCAAGTGCCGCCTACCAATGCTCTGGGCCCCAGAGGCCAAATGCCCCCTGTGGGAGGGGTAGCCAACAACCAGGTTCCTCAACAGCAACAGCAACAAATCCTAGCCCAGTTACGCCAGGCTGTGAGCAATGGATACATTTCTCCTCAACTGCTCAACTATCAGTTGCCGCACAACATTCTTGTCCTTCTCCAGCAATTGCTCCAGCTGCAGACAGCTCGCCAGAGCGTGATCAATAAACTGCAACAGGCAAGAGCTAGTGGCAATAGGGGTAATCAACAGCAGCTGGATCAGATGCCCAGTCTGATAAACAATATCAATCAACAAATCAACAATCTTCAGAAGCAGCTGCAGCAAGCTCAGACTAATCTCTTTAGCACTCAGAAGATGCCAAATATGCCACAACCACCATCTGGCATGATGACACCTATACCAGGTCCCCAGCAGGGAGCAGTTGGTGAGAACATTGATGCCATCAGCACTGATCTAGCTAATGTAGCCATAAGTCAGTCCCAGTCTCGCTTGACAACACAGTGGAAAGCAAGCTCCGAGTCCAGTAGTACTGCTGATGGATCCTCCACACCAACCATGGCAGCATCGACAGGCGCCACAGCTGACGGGGAAGATAAATCTGGAAAGGGCCTCCTGCAATCTTCGTCCTCTCCTAATATGAATTTGATTCCTGGAGGTCTGGGGATGACAGGTGATCGAACCTGGTCTAGCATGTCAACAACCTCCTCCTCCAATTGGCCCATGTCTTCCAACGATGGTGCCGGTACCAATTCTCAGGCTGATCCTAAAATCTCCAACCCTTCAAGTACTTCTACCTCATCAATCTTGTCCGGAATGCCGACTGGCCTCACGGATGTCATCCCTGAATTTGTGCCCGGAAAGCCCTGGCAAGGGCTCTCCACGAAGAATGTGGAGGATGACCCCCACGTTACTCCTGGCAGTATCATCCAGCGGTCGCTCAGTGTTAACAGAGTTCATGATGATTCACTCAGTAATCTTGATGGTCACAAGTTGTCTGGCAGCAATTGGGGCAATAGTTTAAAGAATGAAAATAGCCTTGGCCTGAGCCAACTGGGAAATCGCCCACCCCCTGGTATGGCCCCAGCGAAGATGGCAGGATCACAGCAGTGGCAGACAGGCAGTCCTTTCAACAGACAAGCGTCCTGGGCTGGTCGCTCAAACACTTCAGCATTCACTCAAGGTAAAAAGGTTATTTTTGGTTAGTTTAAACTCATAAAAATGGCTTGTGAATGACTGTTGGTTTTCACTTCATTATAATTTCACTGGGGTGTTTTATTGGTAATGAGGGTTAAGAGCTCGTAACCTGATTAAAAAATATTTTTTTTTTAAAGTGGACATAACTTTTTCGTGTTTTATCGGTTAAAACCATTTTGTCTCTCATACTCGAATATAGAAGGTGGTTTTAAGAACGTGGGAGAGGGTTACAAAAGTACAGGGAGGGTTTATAAAGTTACTGATTACGTAGTAAATTTGCATGCATCTTTCTACTTCATGGATTTTTTTCCGTTTCGGGGGAAGTTCTGAAACGGAACCCTTTGCGATATTCCAGGGCATACATTTGTCTGGGGTATTATCATTTAGGCTGAATCTTGCCTGTTTCCACTGTTCGTCTCGTACTTTACTTTTCAGTCAAATAGTCTTGGTAAATACTGGTAGTGTTTTGCTTCTTGATTGTATTGAAATTTTGCAATTGTTGGAGGAAAGGCAATTAAGTGTTGTATTTTCTTTAGTGTTAAAAATTTGGGAGGTTTTTTGGCTCATAAGTGGATGGTGTATTAATGTGGGATAGAAATCTCATGGTCTTGGTATAGTATGAATTTTAAGATGTGACAGATTAAACCAATTTTTTCATTCGGTATTTTGTTTTTTTAAAAATCTGTCGTATGATCATTGTTGTGTTAATGTGCTCCTCTTTACTCAAAGGAACAAAAGTAGATAATTAGAATTATACCGTTTTTTTCTTCAAATTCAGTTGGAAGCCCGAACTGGAATGACCAGAGCCAGCTCAGTTCCTGGATTTTGCTGAAAAATCTGAACTCTTCTGTAAGTAGATAGTTTGTGGGGTTTTTTTTTACTGGGGTAAATTTTGGGCAAAAGTGAGTTACTGCAGTAAACATATATTTTAATGGCACTTGTGTAGTGCTGTGTGTTTTTCAGTTTAGTTTTAGTAAGAGTTTTACAGCACTTGCAACACAATAAGAGTGTATTTATCTTCTGCAAATCACGTTCTCAAAGTTTCCATAAAATATCACAACATTTCTCCTGACTTCTTTCATCATATGGAGTAGATAATAAATATTTGTGCAGTGAGTAAAATCATTTCACGTTCAAAGGTATTTAGTCTAACGTGGAAAGTAGCAATGCCAATGAAAAATTGATTTCTTACTTTAGCCATATTTTTAGCACCTAAGAAAGGATTTTCAATTCTTAGAATTCTGCTTTTTGAATTAAGAGAATCTGTTCCAAGTAAAGTTATGGGGTTGTAAAGTTCTGCAAAACATGGATGGTCCACCTATAGGAAACTACACCTAAAAGTGGGCCACGTAACAGCAGATTCTGTAAGAAAATTGACATCTTAGTACTTGTGTATGTGCCTAAAGAAAGGTACCAAAAGTTGCCACAGACCATTCTGAGCTACAGGCTGATGACAAAAAATCACTTTTATGACCAAAATATTTCCATAAAAAATTATCCATTTTTAAAAAATGTATTAAAAGAGTTTTCATTGATTTGACTTCTAAATATTTTATTTTGAGGGTAGGGTATGTTGTAAAATGATAATGAAAACTGCTTTTAAAAGGTGTTAAAATCTACTCTTGAAGCACGTTTTCTCTTCCCCGCTATGTTTTACCGTTGAATTCTAATCATGATATTGATGTCAACTGAATGCCGAATCGGAAATTAATTTTCCATGAATAAACACTTTAGAAATACAGTCAAACCTGCCCTGACGGCCACCTCTATAAGACGGCCACCTGTACAAACGGCCACTTTCCATTTCCCCCCTTGCGTTTTTTCGATATAATTTAGGCAGCTTTCACAAATCAGAGGCCTGAAAGTTCCCCAACAGCCCCAATTTTAGAGGCCAATAAAAGTGGACATATTGCATATGTATGGAAAGCTTATTTTTTGTAGAATAAGAATAACTCAATCACAGGGACAGCAGACCCATATTAAAAGAGAAAATCGAGGTGAAAATACCAGTAAAAAATTCCATTCAGACACCCATTTTCATTCCTTTATGGTAATCCATGTTATAATATGAGAAATTGTATTGCATGACATAAATAGAATTTTGCATATAAACGAAAAACAACTTGCTATAACAATAGTTATGCCTATCTTGATACAGCTTAAAAACATGAATGAATACCAACAACAATTGTGACCTTTTTATTTGATTTATTCTTAAGAAAGAAAAAAATACGGGTTGTGTCCCTTGTGTTAAAAATATATTTTGTTGTCTCCCCTTATGATTTTAGTTGAAAATGTTTGTATTTCAACTCCCAGTATTTCTAAATGTTCTGGGTGTAATCAAGTGTAAAAGTTGTGAGAGTTAGATTGAATACTTTTGAGTACAGAGAAGCTGCATTTGTGAGTAAATAAACAAAATAAACAATACTCTTCACCCTTCTCCCAACCCCACCCCTTCACACAAGAATTAAAGTACAGTACGTAGCATTTATCTATAGGCTCCATACAAATTACTTTTTTAATAAGATAAAATGAGGAAAAAAATCATAGTAAAATAAATAATGTCCTCTTGCTGTGATTTCTGGAGGGGGTAAGACTGAAACTGAGTTGACATTTAAAGTCTAGTATGTTTATAATGTACGTGTCGTCTGTGTCAAGCGTATAATAAGTGGAATCTGTGTTCTTTGGTGCATGTACTGGACTTCAATGTCCTCATATATGTCTTCTGGTCAAGTCAGGAGCCACTACCTGCAAATGACAGAGAGATAGAATTATTTGGAAAAGATATCAGTATTATTACAACTGTTAGAGGCTACATTATACTATTATTATTATCATCACAACAATGCAATATATTGTATGTTATGTCATGTCTAGTAAATGTGCATACACAGTCGACAAATATGAAAATGTATAAAATGGTTAAATGATATTAGGTTTAACACCCCTGTCAACACTGTCAGGTTATTTAAGAGGCGGAACCTCAGAGTTTAACGTCCATCTCCGAAAGGACCGAGCCTAGTGGGAACGTGTAAAGTGTTTTCCAAAGGACACGTCGGGCTGAGCTGAGGCTCGAACCCCCGAACCCGCAATCTCACGTTTACAAGTCTGGAAGAGCTGCCCACTCTGATCTTTCCAGTAGCACACGATTGGGAGGAGCGTGATTTGCTTTTTTGCTGTAACTGTTGTATACAGTATTGTATTGTAAAACGCTCAGAGCCTGTACAGTAAGCTACTTTAATCGGGTTTGAAGTTGAGAGCTATTATAATATAATTTATTATTTAAAGTTGAGAGCTATTATAATATCATTTATTATTTAAAGTTGAGAGCTATTATAATATCATTTATTATTTAAAGTTGAGAGCTATTATAACATCATTTATTATTTAAAGTTGAGAGCTATTATAATATAATTTATTATTTACTTAACCTGTTACGAAAAAGTTGCCTTTCTATATCATGTACCGGTACAATGCAGGAGAAAAAACAACGGGAATATTAATCGGTTTTACTCCCTTAAGCTTCAAGTTACAACTGGTAAGAGGCTCTTCCCCTTGCCAGCCTCTTTTTGCTTTTTTCTTAGTAATCTGTGTACTTTTTTGGCTCCTCTTCCTTCATTTTACACCGATAATGAGCCATTCATTCCACCATTCTGACAAAAAAGTAATTTGAGTCTTGATATTAAAAAAGTAAAATAGGGCCTAGATCTACATTGTCAAGATTTGTCAAAGACCTGCATTTCATGTAAATCTAGATCTAGAATCTAGATCAAAATTAAAACAACTACAAAAAGAGAAAGAAAGAAAAAGCTAGAGAGAAAAAAAGAAGGGGAAAACAAGAAGAAAGAAAAAGAAAAGAAAGAAGGAAAAAGAGTGAAAAAACAAACAAACAAGAAATACACTAGAATCTAGAGATCTAGATTAGATCTAGTCTTGATCACATCATGTATTAAAGAAGAATAAAACAAAATTAAAACAACTACAAAAAGAGAAAGAAAGAAAAAGCTAGAGAGAAAAAAAGAAGGGAAAAACAAGAAGAAAAAAAAAGAAAGAAAAAGAAAAGAAAGACGGAAAAAGAGTGAAAAAAACAAACAAACAAGAAATACACTAGAATCTAGAGATCTAGATTAGATCTAGTCTTGATCACATCATGTATTAAAGAAGAATAAAACAAAATTAAAACAACTACAAAAAGAGAAAGAAAGAAAAAGCTAGAGAGAAAAAAAGAAGGGGAAAACAAGAAGAAAGAAAAAGAAAAGAAAGAAGGAAAAAGAGTGAAAAAACAAACAAACAAGAAATACACTAGAATCTAGAGATCTAGATTAGATCTAGATCTAGATCCACGTAAATTTAATAGCTAAACATATGTTCTCTTCACTCTATGATCGCAAGTCGTCCCCAAACCCGCGTTCGTTCACAAATCGCGTTCATAGTGTTCCCTTCCTTCATTATCGGATGTCAAAGTAGTATGTTCGTTCACAAAACGGGTCAGCATTGTGCCGTTCGTTCACTTCCGAACGACGCAGTTGTTTGTTCGTTCACCGCGCGTCGTCTCTATCGGTGTGATCGTAACAGTCACAGACGCTATCGTTGGGTTTGTCGATTCTAGGCCTAATAACCCAAAGCTAAATTTGAAAATTCAAACAAATTTGTAATTTTAGTGTTCAGAGATGACTGTTGATTGCGCTGACGACGATTATAGACAGCTAATGTGGATTTTAAAGGCGATCAGCGTGCTTTTTTCCGAAATTAGACCTAGGCGAACGAACAAACATCACGAACGATGTGAGACCCACAAAACAAATCAATCGCGTACGGAAAAACTAACTGCCGTTGACAAAAAAGACATGCTTACCTCAATTCCTTGACGTCTGAGGAATTTTTTATCCCGATATTGATCGCACCACGGTCAGTGAAACAAAAGAACGATCTTTGGAATGCGCGCGCTACGGTGTGACACAATCGAGACGCACATGACCCGGGCTCTCGATTTTTTAACCAAAACGCGTTATTTTTGTTGCTCATCACAAATTGACCCTTTCTTACCAATTTTAGGCCTATTTCCATAACATTCACACAAAAAAACAGTTGATACGCAAAATTGCTGTACTTTGATGAGGGTTGTTGTCACCTCACGTTTGGAGACCCACGTGACCTTTAAAAATGCACTAAACATTTGTTTTGAAATTATGAACAATTTTTTCACTTTTCGTCTGGAATTTAGTTTTACTTGTCAAAACATTTACTTATTTGACTTTCCATCGCAAAAAATTACAACTACCACCTCTTTTGACTTTTATTTAGAGATTAGCCATGTGCATGCTATTTTTAGGGAACTTTCGTGTGTCTCAATTGTCACGTTCATGACACTAAAATCAACAAAAACATGAAAATAACTCAAGAAAACAACACCATCTTGTTTATAATGTCTCTTTAATGACCATTTTGTAGAAGTAACACCAAAAAAATCATGCAAAGGGTCTGTGGAAGTTTAAAGAAGCATTGCAATTTTGGATTGTGTTGGGCAGGCAGATTTGTGAAAGCTGCCTTTAACTGTAAAACGGTCACCTGTCTAACGCGGCCGCGGCCACCATATTTTAACACACAACCCCTATCACACAAAGCAATAACACCTGTCTAAGACGGCCACCTTAGTGACTCCATTACGTTTTGTCATAAATTGTGCACTGTCCCCTTGCATTGTGGGCGAGCCGTCATAATCTAATCACCTGTCTTTGTTGTTAGGTAGTCCCTCCAACCGATCATGTTGCGTAGGCCCCTCCCACTGTTAACCAATAGGTAACAAAATTAATTTTCAGCTGCTGGTGAGGTAAGCGTGTGATCCCTCATAACCCATAAGCCCCGCCCAGAACTCATGCACACAAATCGTAAGTGAGATGAGTGGTCACTGTTTACCCAGTCCGTAACAAAGTAACAATGGACATCAACATGAACTTGTAACAGAAGCGTCGCTCGTTCTCCGAATGGTAGCGACACATGTGTTTGTTTTACCACAGCACTCGGTCCTCCTTGTCTGACACTTTTCGTTTTATTGTCACCCTTGCACAAAAGCGGCAACAAAATTAAAAAAAAGAGAACAACCCCAGCGAAAACAACAACAAAAATAACAACAACAATAACAATGCGACTACCTTCAGTTGGGACCTCAGAAAGGAAGGGTTTGTTTTCTCAGAAAGGAATGGTTTGTTTTCTTCTTCTTGATCAATCCTGCCTAAGACGGCCACCTGTCTTATACGCCCACTTTTCACCTTGACAATGGGTGGCCGTCTTACACAGGTTTGACTGTAATTGAATCATCTTTTTTTTTTTCCAAATTTCTTTGTGTTCTAGACTTAAAAGCTAATTTTCTCAAAATTAGATCTGGATACCCTCCCTCGCAAAGTGTGCAGCGTCTCAAAAATTAAAAAAACCCACCGTGTTCAGCATTGAATGTCCTCTAAGTTACAACTCAAAATGGTTAAAATCCGACTTTTGGTACCTTTCTTCAGGCACACACACAATTAATTAGAATGTTTGAAAGAAACGTTGGCTACTTGATGTGTTTTTGCTGGAGAAATCATTTCTGCAGTTAGATTTACTAACCTTTTCGTAATTTTGTTGAAATAAAAATATCGGTGTATAGATTACGATTTTCAGAAAGAGGGTGTCAGGATGAAAGTATTTCATTTGTATTCTATTGTATCACGACATGGGATCCTTAACAAAATGTTGGCAGCATGAGTAAATAATGGCAAAACTTCTTTGATGGCATTAGACTATGTAAAAAATAATAATTAAATCCAATATGTCGTACAATTAAACACCTTTTTTTTGTTTGAGAGGCGAATACCCCGAGGTGAGGTAAGCTTGCCTCGGAATACCCCCATTATGATGTTACACAGGAACAGAGAGAATGAACAACAGGGTGCGCACACCTGCTATTGCCCCTCTATCAAGTGACCAGTAAACTGGCTCGGAATAATCATGCGGTGATTTGTAGGTCTTAGACATCTGCCATGGGTGTACGCCGAAAATGGCAGGTCTCCGTGCGAAGCCCCTTTAGGCAGGGGGTAGTGGTACATTTACGATAAATTCTAAACGACTGCTTGATGTAAAACTTTCAAATTCGAGGACACTATAGAGGAAAGATAGATCTCCTATCTTCTTGACTTTGAAAACCAAGCTCCTTTTAGTGTACAGAATACTGCACCTGATACAGTGGAACTCGGATTCAACGAGGTTGCCGGGCCTGACCTAAAAATCTAGTTGAATCCGAGTGTTCTTTATAGCAAACATGAGGTTTCGTGTAGATAATTACAGGCACTGAGCAAGTAACGTATAAAGAGAAGTCAGAAGTAGTGCCTGAAATGCCTGCCTATTATGAGCTGTGTAAAAAAAAAAAAAGAGACATGATTCGTTCAAATGCATACACCTGTGTCATCTCGATTGTTTATCAAAACGTGTTGCTGTGTAGAGCCTAGCATACGGCAACTTTTAATTCCATAGACCAGCGCACAATTAATTACGTAGATCTACGTCAAGACTAGCTTATCATTGTAACAATGATCAGTGGGGGTGGGGGGACGCGCCTGTATCTTCCACGTTCAACGCCTGGACCGCTAGTGCCCCCTCCCCCCCCCCCTCCCCCCCCTCGACATGCACACACAGTCACACGTGTCACCCACCCATCCGACCCCAACACACGCTAGGCCTTGAGTAGACACGTCAACGCATGTGTTGGTATAAAAAAAAGGCCGCTGATTGGTCGCATGCAATCGGTTAAGTGAATAATGGTTCACAATGCAGGTGCAATGGATGGTTTCCAGGAACTGATAAAATTGGTTCTGGGAGAAAAATTAGCGAAGCCACGTCTGCAGGGGCTGTTAACCCTGGAAGCGACCTCGTTGAATCCAAGCTCGCTGATTTAAGTGTTCGTTGAATCCGGGTTATTTTTATTGATTTTGAAAAAGAAGAGAAAAAAACGGGGTGTCTATCTCATCTCGTTGAATCCTAGTTCCACTCTATGAAAGTGTTTCTGACACCAAAACTTTAGGTTAATTTATTTGCACAAACTTGGTCCACATATTTTAAGTTTGTCCTATTTTCTGATTGATTGCCAAGTTTCATTCACCTTGGTCCTGAAATTTAGCCAAATGAGTTTGTGAAAACTAGTCACCTACGCTCCGATCCGGTCCAAAAATACAGTAGCAAACGGGGACCAAAATTTCGCTGTGTACACAACCCTGATTGGCATTGTTGTAGAAAGGAGATCTATTTCATATGTGAGACAGAGTGGTGAAATCAAGCGCTCGTCAAAATAATGAAATCCCCAAAAATGTTGTGTAAAGGCACCAAAAAAAGTAAATTTTCAGGTTCTAAGAATTCTCAGGTTATAGAAGTTACCAAACTTTGGTAGCCATTTTCTCGCTTATTTTACCTCTGAAACCAGGAGACCCTGACCTCCTTCAATCCCAAATATTTCAACTTCAGTTCAACACAGACTGATATTTTTTTCATCAAAAGGAAGGCAAATGAACAGGCCTTAAGATGATACTGATAACCCCATATGCCCAAAAATTGACGAGCGGCTGATTTCACCACTTTGTGACACATATTGTATTTCCATGATTAGCAGAGGGCACAAGTGATATTTGAAGATTAGAGATATTTTTTTTTCAAGATTCCACAATTTTACACTTTTGTTAGACAACACAATTCTATTGTAGAAATGAACTGGAATGTAGTCTGTATTAGAAACTCTTTTGGTATATTGCAGCTTGATTCGGCCACCGTCCGCGCTTTGTGTGCTCAGCATGGAAACCTGACCAACTTCATTCCACAAGGTCAAGCTGCCCTTGTTCAGTACACTGGCCGTGACCTGGCCTACAATGCTGTACAGCGCCTCAACAACTTTCAAGTAGGAAACACCATCATCGGAGCAGAGCTGATCAGTGAGAATGAGGCTCAGCGTGCAGTCTCCCAGATTCCTCCTCCTCAGCCAAGTCCTGCCATGCCACACATAAATGCTAGTCAGTGGTCACATGCCCCACCCACTTTCCAAAGTGGGGGAGCCCGTGGTGGGGATCCTTGGGGTAATGGGATGCATGGGCACCAGCACATGTCCAAGTTTGGGTCTGTTGGGGGTGATCCATGGGGAGGCTCTGGCTTGTGGAGCGATATGAATTCGATGGCAGATCACAACTCGAACCAGCTCCTCAGCAACATTCTCGGGGGTGAATCGATGTAAAATGATATTTGTAACACTTAACTGTGAAGGCTATATTCCCTTTCCTCCTCAAAGCTGATTTTTAAAAAAACAGGAAGCTAATGAGTTCTCGAGGTTGGTGTTTTGTTTTTTTGTTTGTATGTACTCCAATGTGTAATATTATCTTAAATGATATGCTCTAACTTTAATTTCATGGTATTGATATGCTTGTTTGTGCTGGATTTTGTATGACAATATGCCACATGTTCATGTGATCTCTCAAAATATATACGTTTTTGTATGCGGGTTAGGCTGGAGTATGTGGATACCTTATTATGATGTCCATATACTCGCAATGTGTTCCACTGGCCTCTATAGCTGAGTGCCGTCTCTACCAAATTGATGCATGCAAATATTTGTGGTGCTTTCCTCATTGAGGAGCCCATTACATCACATCTTTATTTCCTTCCTCAAAAAACGTAATATCAATTATGAATTAGATTTATGTATGTATGGTGTGTACTTAGTGTCAAGTATCCGAGTCTTTCAGAATTCCTGTGGTCTTATGTGGTGATGGGATGACCACCCCTTACAGTACTTGATTAATACTAGCGCCTTTTAAATGTTTTAAACAAGATTTTTCACAACGTTGATTTTAATTCATGGTTTGACCTTGGAATTGGATATTTTCATGGAAAATGCTTGTATCAATTTACTCAATGTACAAATGTTAGAATAATACAATGGAGGGAATGATGGCTGAAGGAAAAAAAATCCCCACCTAGCGCCTCTGCTATGGCTGAATGGTGTATTGTGCAATTGCATAGCACATTACAGTGCAGCAAGCGCATTTTGTAATTCTTCTTTTGTTCAAAAGTCATGATGTCTTTGTTTTATTAAAGGGAGGGTGGTTCAACCCTAACCTTGATTCTTTGTTGTTTCTCTTGCCTTGTTACAAAAAGGAAAGTAAAGACGTGAATGACTAACTTTTAAATAAACCAAAAAAACAAAAAAAAAAAAAAAAAAAAACACTTCTCATGTGGCAGGATGCCAACAACCTGTGATACCATTGTCTCAGTGTGCCTGCTTTGTTTATGTATGCATGTGTTTATGACCAAAAATTAGTGCACAGCGGTGCATGCTACTCTGCTTCCATGAAAGTCTTTAGTTGAACTATATGGTTGATGGCGTTCATAAATCTCAAACTGATAGTCAATATTCTTATGCAACTATTTCTTTGAAGTAGTTAAAATAGTGTTGGGCCTAACTGCTGCTATGTTTTTCAGTCCACCGCCTATGGAAACTTGTCATGAGCTTTGGACCTGTTGGTGCAAAAGTTTAAGTACAGAATACGCTGGGTATATATCTGCATTCCTGTCAAATTTTTTAAAATTAAAGCACCTCTTGTTCAGGGACCGTCAACCATAAACAACATAAAAGAAAAAAAATCACTTTCAGAATTTCAGTGATATTTTGTATTTATTTTGCAAAGTCATATCAATTGTGTATTTATGATCAATAACGAAACTTTGTTAGTTGTTCGTCTCAGCAAATTGCCATATTAAGCCTATCTTCATAATGGTTCGTGTTGAGCTAATCAAACTTTATGTTAGTTGTTTTTGTATAAATTATTACACAAACTGCTTGTTTAATGTTATTTTTCCCTCCTATACAATAAGATTTCATCGATTTGATCACTGTTAAATGCTGTTAAAAGGGGAATAGTGCAGAGAATTTTACATCGGTATTGTTGATAATGCCTTTCCTTTTTTTCCTTTTTTCCTTCTATGAAAGTAATTAAAAAATGCATATTCCAAAGAATTGTCGGCTCTTGATGTCCCCCCTCCCCTCCCCAATGATCCTTGTTGATGTTTGATGCGCCATTGTATATTGTTACGTGCTCGGTAGAGCTCGGTGATTGATCCATGCAGTGTTCCAATGAGTATTACGTCTTACATAGATAGTTCTTCTTTTGAGTCATTGTGAACTTGCCTTGCATTCTTAGATACTCATGCTTCCATAAAGCAGCCACAAGGACATAGATTGTTGGATTTACTGTTTCAGGATCAAAAGAATATTTCCACCACCTGTTGTTCCTTCCTCTGAGAAGTTGTATATAGTGGAGCCAAAAGTTGATGCAAGTTCCTGAGCTACACCATTATTTTGGATTCTAATACAATAGGTAGTTTCCTCTCTTTTTGTCTAAATCCATTAGTTTCATGCGGACTTCAATGCAAAACCATGACAGAGACAAACAAATAAAACCTACACCGCCATTCTCATCATCCAAGGATTTTCTCATCTGTAGTCAAAAGAATCTTGAAGTCTTGTTTGTCACGTGTCTGCATTTGCTTGTTCTTTATATCAGTAATAGTAAGGAATATATGTTGTGTCTGAACTGTTCAAGCTCATGTGACACACATATATTTTACCTTTCTTTACAAAGATTATGGTCACTACAATTTTTCAAAAAATCTCCAGTAAAGTTTGTTGTAAGTGTTGCCAGAAATCCAAAAATTTGCTGACTGCAGTTACTCATGATGAACAAAAGTAATCTCATCATTACAGGTGATTGATTGTAATGTGTTCTTGCAATAGGTTGGTGATTTTTTTCCCCTTGTATTTAATGCCATGTCATGTCTATACTTTCATGTTGAGAAGATCTGTAGTTTATCATTGAACAAATGTGTGATTTGCTAACTCCGCCCTTTCTATGTTGATGCATTCTGTCATAATTCCACAATCACTTCTTCTTTGGGGAAAATGGGAAAAAAATCACCCGAAAGTAAGTGAAGCAGACCACAATGATAAGTAGACAATGCAAACCATCCTCAAGTCCTTCTCCCAACCTTCCTCAACAAGGCAATATTTTATCAATTGTTGTTATCTGCAAGTTTGTAAATTATTGAAATTTCCAGTCCCATATGGTAATTTATTGATATCTCTAACAAAAGCATTTCCCCCTCCCCCCCCAGTGAGTTTTTGTTCATATTCTTTTTATTGGCAGGAATGTACTCTTTGTGTATGTAATATTTTCATGTGAAAGACGCTCAATAAATTAACATGTCACATTGGTGCAATGCTCTTGATACAGATAATCATGTTGTGTTACTATTTAAATAGCTCCTAATATGATTGGCATTGACTTATTCTCTATGCACGGTGCTGATGTGCTCATTCTGATACTGTGGTGTGTCATAAATGATTGTATTCATGCATTTGAGAATCAATGGATAGTCAGCAATGATAATTTTGCAGCAGGAGTTTCATATATATATATATATATATATGTATTATAAAAAAATCTATTGGAAAAAAAAGAAAAATAAAAAACAAAAAAAACAAAAAAACAAAAACCCCAACAAACACAAACTTTGTCCCTATCCCATTTCCTTGTCAGACACAATTGACTATGTAGCTTTTTATTTTCCACATGAACATATTTCAGTAATGTGTATAATTTTAAATCTGAATATCTTTACTATACATGTGTAAACTAAAAAGCTACAAGCATTTGAGTGAAGCTCCTGCCAGAAGCATTGCAACATATAATGCCAGTAATTTCTTTGAATCGCAAGTTAATGAATGCACTGCATATGTAAAATCCTCATTTCTGGTGCTTCCTCTTTCAAAGAAACATTAGGGGATACCTGCAATGGAACTTGCAAAATTTTCAAAGATCTTTATATTTATATCAAAAGGTCTGTGAGTTTCTTACCAAAAAATACGGACAGAATCAAAGAAAAAAATATTACTGATTTCATCCTCCTTTGTGGTGCTCATGATGTGGACTTCTTTTGTCCCATTGCACTTGGTCCTAGTGGATGCTGAGAGGCACTATCTTAAATTAGACATATTACTAAACCATTTGATTTGAGGAAGACTTTGAGGTCTGTCCAAAACAGCAATAAAGTTATGTTGTGGGGGAGTGGGTTTAAACTTGAAATTGATGATCTTGTGTGCAATTTTGTGCCTTTTTCATTACCGAGTAGTGATTGATGTTTGTGTAGCCATGGCTTTCATTATGGATTATAAATATAAAGAATGTAGTTTCAAATCTGTTACTGTTCCTGGCCAACTAGTCATCAAAATTTGTCATGGTTCATCAAGCTCTTTTAATAACAGGCAAGGCAGGGGATACAACTAGTGATGTGAAAGATCTGTATGTTCGTCATTCATCACAAAGTTAAAGACTTTGTAAACGAAGCATATTTACCTCGAGCACTGTCGGTATGCAAGTACATTATTTCGCATTGCATTTTTGCTTGTGACTTACCACTTAAAGACTAATCAAATCGATTTGTAATCTTTTCCTCAGAAAATCAGTGGAACTGTGATGGTGTTGCTTATTACTTATCTCATGAAAATGTGCATTCCATGATTTTTCTCCCCTTCTCTTCATCATCCATATGGTATATCTTTGATCTTTCCTCTTTGGGGAAAAAGTCAGTATTGCTCAGCCTTTTCAATAGTAATCAGGCTAATTACAGGTTTGTATCACATAGAGCAACCATGACATTTTCCCTAGCTGTGTAGTATCATATCTTTTCCATGCCATTCCCTCCCCAGTATTAAATGCTAGACATGTTTTCTTGATGGCTGATTCAGAAGTTAAGTGGCTTTTACTCTGGAGCTGCTGTACATTGATATGATTGTCTTACCTATGTGAACATGTGGCAAAGTCAAAGATGAGCTGTGGGCTTTTTTTTCTCCATCCTTTTTTTCCTCTTTTCTTTTTTTTTCCTTTTGGCATTGCAGTGTTTGACACAGAAGATTAGGTGGCAGAGAAATCGCACATACCTTAGCCATATCTTAATATGTACCGTGATTTTTGAAGTTTGGCAGCCTGGTTAAGATATTTTTTTTTACGTTCATATGTTTCTGCTTATTGTAATTGACATGTAAACCATGTTTGTGGAATGAGAATACTACAATGAAATGTACATATGCTGTTATTTTGTTAATGCTTATCAAGCAAATTCTGCAAACTGGACAACTGTGAATTTCAAACTGTATATTTATACGTTTTTTCCTTGCATTTTACAGTTATTTTTTGTTATGGTTTTGTGTATTATAATTATTGGGTTGTTTGTGATGCTTTAAAATTTTTATTTTCAGATGTGAATGGGGTAATTTTGAAGTTATATTTATGATTTTCTCATCCACAACCAAATGAATGTGTGACAATTAACCACATAGCATCAAGGATCACACGTTCTTCCTCTTTTCTAAAGAATGATAGGTTATGGCTAGCAAAGTAGAGACTAGCCATGGAAGTTCTTATTCTAACTTCTCTGCTTATTAATGGAGGAAATGGATTCATTCCTAAATTTTCCATGGCACAGAAACCTGTACTGAGATGTACTCAAGTTGTTTTTATTGATCTTACTTTCGTGGATCTGAAAAATGCCCCCTAGTAATGTCAGGGGGAATATTCTATGCCACGAAAACCTAATTTATCAAAGGGGTGACTTGTTGGAACCAATGATCATTTCTTTGGTGTGCATATTGATAGTTTTAGATAAATAAAAGTTCACCACTTTTTTTTTTTTTTTTTTTTTTGGTAACACAAATTATCAAAGCTATACATAAACTTATACTACCAACCAGATTAGTGTTGTGTACATGTCTTGTGGTGAAAGACAAGGGGTACAAAGGTGAGATTTTTTGTGTTGTAATGCATGTGTATTCGTTGCATAATTACGAATTAGTCTTGCTGGAATTTTTCTAGATGCATTTAGATGTCATTGCGTTTTATAAGCATTAGGTGATACGAACTATCAGTTACAATTTTTTTTTTTTTTTTTTTTTTTTTGGCATTTTGCATTTATTGTCAGCCCTTCTGTTTTCTGAGTCGATTCCCACCATGAGCATGTAATTTCCACATATTGTTCTTTCATTTCTTTTCCTCCAACTTTAAATCTGGGTTATGCAATAATGGAATCCACAAATCTTTCACGTAATGCTGTTGATACTCAAAGAAGATACATAGACTGAATGATAATGCTAGTCTTTATAAGCCAAAATATATGACATGTAGATCTTTTTTCTCTTGTAGAATTTTACCATTAATTTTTGCATTCGCAGATGCATTCTCGTTGTGCATCATGGGTGGTTGGTGTTTTTTTTGGGTTTTTTTAAAAGTATTATCCTGATGATCTTTAGAAATGCAGGAGTTAGATATGAAAACCAAATGCAAGCTTAAAAAATGTAACAAAAGTAATTGTTATGAAGGAAACCAGCACAAAAACGTCACATGGTAAGAATATGTCCTCATCTAAAGAGAAATACTTCCTATTGTCACCAAGTATTATTATTGTTTCTTTCCAAGTAGAATTTGAGATCAGACTTACATTCACATAATGTATTGCATTCAGACCAATCAAAACTGTGTGCCACAACTTTGTCAACCATCATTCCTCTTTTTAAATGGAAAAACAAATGTCTTAAACTTATGTATATAGCTTCTGGCCCCTACCAGTTTTGATTTCCTATGATTTGTAAGATGTATAACATGTTTGTACTCGTGCTGATTTTATGTGCTAGGAACATAGGGCTTGCTTATTAATGTCCATTCAGGGCTGGTTTGTACATGGATGAACTTGCCTTTCATTTGCTATCTTTCTACTGTACCCATTTTTTTGTTGTCCGTGAACAACTCGGAGGAGATTGTTTGTTTAAAAAAAATAATAAAAGAAGAAAAAAAAAAAGAAAAAAAAAACGTTAAAAAATTATTGAAATGTCTTTACTTAGACTTGTATGCCTTATTGTTGTTTTCGTTAGTGTGTGTGTTTTAAAAATGTCTCTCTCCCTCCCAGGGAATTACTTTAATTAAGCATTGAACATATTCTCAATATTACTTGGATGGGCACTTTTATACCTTAAGGTTTAGACAAAGTGATTTGTGTATCCAATCTGCTACCCTCGTACCCATTCCCCAACACTGTTCTGGTCAGGTCCAGATGAGGCACGTATTTGAAGTTTTTGCTTTGATCGTGTCTGTTCATCAAATTGGACGCATGTGATGAAAGTTGTCATAATGCTTTGGAATTTCATTTGTCACAGTGATGTCTTTGCTTTGTTATGTAGTGTTTTGAGATGTGGTGATTTATTTTTTTAATGGTTCAAATTTTGGGAAAAGGCAAAAAAAAGTCCAGGTTTGGGGATTTCTTCATGCCACACCTTACTAGCATTTTTTTTTGTGTGTGGGGAGGTCTTTTTTCACTTTTGGTTACTGTCGTGATCTTGGTAGTGTTGATGAGCTGTGGTGTTAAGACTGCCATATATAGTTTGGAAGTGAAATAGGTGAGGTTTGCTTTTGTGGACCCCTGTTTCTTGCTCACTTTACTGCTCATACTCTTTGGCGTCTACTGGGAGATCATTTGCTAAAAAGTTTCCATCTATTTATGTATTTGAAAAATTATGTGTTTGTGCCCAGGTAAAGCCCATGCTCGTTCATCTTTCATAAATGGCACTTAATTACTCATAAAAGATGTGCTGAGTCAATCCAGTTTAATGTATGCATGAATATTTTCTTCATGTGGTTGCTACAAATTAATTGGTAGAGTCATTACTCCTTCTGCTTCTACAGATTGATAATTTCTTCCCTTCTTTTCTCTTTCAAAGGACTGATATGTTGGTACATGAAATGATTTGAGGATTTGAAATGTTCAAGATAAGAAACAGGTTTAAAATTTTAAAAAAAAAAAAAAAAAACATCTTGAGATTGTAGGTGGTTGTGATTCTGGTAGTTCCATGTCATCAAGTAATGTAAATTGACATTGTTATGGTTTAAGAAATATAGTTCGAAATTTGACCTGTGGGTATTTTTTTTAAGTTGTTGGAATTGGGGAAAAGGCGTGAGTATTGAGACAGTTCCTACTTCAGTGGCACTCAATTTTACATTGAAACTTCTCCACTTGCATTTTACATGCACATTTTGTAATTTAATTTTTGTGTGCTAATGGCATGTCCTACTACTTCTATTTTTGTGTTCCTTGTCTTACTTCTCCAATAACACAATATGACCATTGTGACTTGGTGTTAATTTTTTAAACAAAGCTCGCTTGTTTTTATTTATTTTGCCATTCTGTCCCTGTTTTTTTATAATGAACATTAAGTAATGATGATTTGAAGAAGTGACCTAGATTTCGTAATTGCAAAAGAAAGGGATGGGAAGATTAGGTAGACAACTTTTGACTAGAGGGAGTGAGAGCACCTGAAGGTCAATCAATGACGGGGAAGGGAAGTGAGATGCCTCTGGATTTGGTGGTGCCAAATTTCATTTTGATGGCCCATTTAAAGGACTCCTATAATATTGCCATTTATTTTGCATAAAGATATTGTGTGCTGAAAAGTGAATGCCACCCCTCATTTTGACAATGACAGCAAGAGTTATGACTTTTTGATGAGAGAAAAGACCACTATATGACACTTTGTTCTAATTGTTCTTCATGAAGGACCTGAGATGTACTGAAATGGGGTAGATAATTGCAATGAAAATTCTGAAAGTATGTGTTCAGGTGCCCCTCCCTGCTACCACTCAGAGAAATGTCTCTGAATGTTTGCCTTTCCAATCATGAATCTCACACCTCATGATGCACATGTTTTGAGGGTACGCAAATTTTTCACAGCAGCGTTCTGTGCTTTCAAATGTTCTTTGCTTTTCTAGTCTGAATAGACAGGTCTCACCTGACAATGGATTTCTGTTATTTAGATAAATGTTTACAGCAGGGTCTTAAAATGTTTTGTACTTGATGTACCCTGTATTGATCAAGACAGGATTGTCTTGTGTCTCTATGAGTCAACTTTGAAAACTTACATTAATTATTAAAAGGTGTCGCTTGCCAAAGATGCGAAAATCAAAGATGTGAAGGTAAGTAAATAAATGCTCACATTTTCATTTTGGTGTACTTAAAAGTAAGAACAAAAGGAGACTTTACTGTAACTAGATTGAATATTCAATTTGACTGTTGGTAGTACAATGGCTTGTGTTATCAACTTACTTGTGTGCAATAACTTTTCTCATTTAAACAATTATTGTGTAGCCACAGGATTAGGATGTGGAATGTCCCACCTCCTCTCTTTTAAGAGAAGTGCAGTAAAGCTGAAAACCCAAGAAAGAAGATTAAATCGTAAAAGTAAAAGATGCATGGAAAGCAACTGGCAGAGCCGTACATATCAAAGGCCTTACTACCATTTCAGTAGAGGATGTGGTGTGTTCTTGGAGGATGTAGGGCACCACTAGGATTTTTTTCAGTATTACTTTGAACATACCCATCCTCCACGTTGTAGCTCAGGATGGTTCGTCTTTCGATGAGATTCATTGGGATATTGATCTTTTCTCCCTCACTCTTCCTTTAGATTTTTGCAAACAAGGTTTTCCTCTCACCTTGTTCTGTCTCTCTTTCTCCCTAGAGGAAAAGGTGCCACATCGAAATAAGCAGTACATTTGGAATATGTACATTGGTTTTATATGTTAACATTTTTTTATGAGCAACTTAAAGACTTTGTTCTCCTCTTGCTTTCATAGAAAGCTCAAATGAATGTGTTGTAACCCAGTACTGCTCACTGAGATCTCAGTTTTTTCCTCCCACTTCATTGGTCTCTTGTGTTCATATGTCATTACAAAATGATACTTTCTAATCAACCTAAAGTGCCACAGTTATGTATGAAGTTGAATTTGGGGGATGGGGTAATGTTCCCATTGCTTGTGGCAAAAACAAAATTTGTTTAAAAAAACAATTAAAAAAAAAAAACAATCGTGATTTCTATGTTAAAGAGCAGTGTACAAACTATTATGGTCTCATTGTAAGAGATGAGAGCTATGTGTATATTAATTAATACGTCCCATTTTTGTTTGGTGTTCACTGTCCCTTGAAGTTGTGATTGCTTGAACAAAGAGTCCAGTATGTTTGCTAACGGATATTACAAGGGTAAGGTGCTGTGGGATCAATTTTGAAGCAGTTTTTGCCATCATTTTCAGTCATAACGATTCTGTCTATTCATATGGTATTTATATCATTTGTCGGAGTTATGTCGCAGTGTGAAATGCTGCTCATATTGTGCTCCATGCTGAGTGGAGTACGTTGTCAAAATAATCCCATCAGAGAAAGTGTTCTACTGCGGAGGCAAAGCATTTTTGATGATTGGCAAAGCGCCACAGGAGACACGTCAATTTGTCATCATGGCAGTGGATAGATTTCTTGTCAAAACTAGCAGAAAATGTATCTTGAATCAACCAAATGCTTCTGGACTTCAAAATCTTTTGTTCTAGTTTATAAATTTTAACTTGTTTTCATGTTTGTAAGATTCCGAGGGAGTTCTCTTCTTGATCCAATACAGTGAAATGGGTGGGTGGGATATAGAACAGCTAGAATTATGCATTTCCTTGCAGTTAAATCAATTGTTGAAAATTTGTAGGTGTATAATTGTGACAATCAGTATTGGATCACCTCTCCACCAGTTAACTGTTTGTGAATTACAGTCTTGAATGCACCTTCAAAGAGGCTCTAGTGATACATTGTCTGTTGTCTTCCGCACTAACTTTTGTATTTCAAATAATCTTTTTCCTTTGCTTTTGGGTCAAGCTCATTGTTTTTATGACTTGAAATCAAGGTTCACTGTCTCATGTGAAAGTAAGATGTTTCAGTAGATCTATTTGTATTGGATTTAGTTTGAAGTACTTTTGTGAATACACAATGGTTACCGTTTTCTGTTAGGATTCTTGAAATTGTTACACTTTAATGCCAGTCCATATTTGTATGAGTTGTGATTTTTCTTTATACTTCATAGTTTTCCTTTCAAAGGGGTGTGGAGACAAATTTTTCAAAAGTTGTAGAGGCCCCTGCCCCCTCCGTTTCTTACTTTCCCTCCAAAGGACCCAAAGTGTTTTGGTTCTTGACAGTAGTCTCACGTTCTCAAAAGACACCAGCTTACAGCCAGAGTAATTGAAAGTAGGTTGAACATCTGCAGTATATCGTATTCAAAGACGGCTAATATGAGCTAAATGCATGTTTATGCTTGTATACATGCTTTAACATAATTGTGCCTTCATGGTTGCTCTTATGGGTGTCGTCAGATATCCCACCTATGACGAGATGCAGTAAAACCTTATCTTCAGACAAACATTTACTCTCTTGTAAGGTTCAGGGGGCTCACGGGTAAAAACGTAAGTGTCTTTTAGAGGGGAAAAAGGACAAAAACATAAGCATAATAATATGGCTGTTTTGATGTATAAAAATGAATCAAAGGCCCATGTACAAAAAGTGCAAATTGCTATAGATGATGTAATTTTTTTAGGTGATAGCGTCTAATATTTCTTATAAAATCATTCTTCTTTATTCCTATGCCCATTTCATAATTGAAGAAAAAGAAAATGGGCACTTTTCCTGCTTTAAATGAAGCAATGATTGAAATAAAAAAACTAGTTCAAAGAGAATATATATGTAACTTTTCTTCTTATTCTTACCAGATTAATGAGATGCTACTGTAATGTTTTGGCAACGCTTGGACATAGATGCTAGTCTGCCGTCTACATTTTTCTCTGAGATCTACGGTTTTGTAAAACCTGGCTAAAAATATCAACTAAAACTGAACAGCAAAAAATGGCAAAAAAAGAGAAAATAATGATATGTTGTATTATATTTATTGATATTTCCAGATATTCTCTACCTGTGAGCTCCCTTTATTTATTTATACTTTTTTGGGTGGGCCTTGCTTCATGTTAACAGGAATTCTGTGAAAGTGGTCAGGCATTTTGGTTACATTTCATGCTGTACTGATTTATTTGCCTCAGATCTCCCCACCCTTGAACCTGGTAGTAATATGAAAATATGGAAATCAGGGTTTCTCTTTGTATTTATTGCATAATGATCGTGAATTACAGGAACCATTGGTGGTACCATGATTTTTGCCTTTTAACCATTTTTGACCATTCAGTTTTTGACATGCTTATTTGTGATTGGTGCACAGGTATTTAATATTGTAATATGAGTAATGTGTGGGGCGTCCTCCCTTTCCCCTGTAATTTTAAAATGAATGTTTTGTTCTGAACAATGATGTAGGCATCTCTTTCTCTTTTCTCTCAAAATTAATAACTTTATGACTAGAGACACTGATACCACTTGGTACTTAGGAATTTGATTTCATCTTGTGACAAGTGAGGTGATCACACGCAAAATGTCTATAGACTGGGGCAGCTTTTTGATGCCCCTCTCCCCATTTCAATTTCTTTTTTAAAAGTTTAAATAGAATGTGAAAGAGGAGAAGTTCAAACATTTCATGACATGTATATTGTGCTCGTAGCTTGCTTTGACTATAAATTCCAAAATAAATAAAAGTCTTTATTCATTTAGAATAAATGTGTCCGAGTTCAGTCTTCTGCTATATTTTGATGGGGTGTTATGATTGTCATTACTATTTTGTCCATCGTTGCTGATGTGCATTGCAGTTTGAACTGAATAGGGTTTTTTTTCTTACTAGGTATCAAAAGAATGAATGGAATTTTGAAGAAGTATTTATAAGGATAATTGTTGGCAGTTGATGCGGTTTGCTGCTTTGCTTCTTCTTTCCTTTCCTATCAAACATTTATCTTCCTTATTTCTCTCTCTGGTACATTGTACATGTACAGTAGAACTCGGATTCAACGAGGTCGCCGGGCCTGGCCTAAAACCTTGTTGAATCCGAGTGTATAGCAAACACGAGGTTTTGTGTAGATAATTAAACCACATCAGAAAAGCTTGATCCGTGGCATCTGCATCGGGTAGTCTCATCTTCTTTCGATCCAGAGCAAACTTTTCATTGGAGTATGCTGCCACTGTCTTCTCTCTATCCTTGATAATGGTGTGAATCGACCCTTGTGGAATGTTGAACTGACGACAAATCTCTGCCAGTGGAGCTTGCTTTTTGTCAACAGTCTGGATTATTTCGTATTTTTGTCAATTGAAAGGCATTTTCTCTAGCGCTTGACATCGTTGGTGACACATTATGCGTGCGTGTTGCTAGGTTTCAGGCGAGATCGAGGTCTGCTGCAGCACACCGCAGCCCTCTCTCGCTTCACACGCTGCGTGTGCTTGCAGTGGCATGGCTTGCGTGGGCTTGCTCCTTCACTGCGTTTCTCTCTCTCTCTCTCTCTCTCTCTCTCTCTCTCTCTCTCTCTCTCTCTCTTTTTTTTTACTCACTGTTAACGAACCTTTGTCCCTGCTATAACCGGTTGGGCTCCGATGAGGCCCTGTTATTGCCGATAACTTTTAATAGAGACAGAGTAGGAAAAAAAACGGGGATTTTAAAAGGGAGTGCTTATTTAGGCCACATATGGCCTAAATAAGGTAAGGGAGGGGGGTTTAGCTTATTTAGGCCACACATGCTCAAACTACCCTTTTCAGGCAACTGAGTTCGTTCCACTTTCATAATGGTGCACCTTTCTCATTTAGTACGGTTTTGTCTCCGTGTACAACTTATAAATCATAACCATAATGAATATTCTAAAGAACAAAGCACAATACGCACAATTTTGCTCAATCCCATTGGTTTGAATGAGGGCCAGATTGTTCCTTCATGGAAGGGCAAAAGCTAGGCTACCATTTTGGCACACTTTGGTCAAGTGAAAAGGTCAAATCTTCCGAATGGACTTCCGGGTTAAATTTGGGGTATAAAACGAGTGTACACTACGTGGCTGAGTCAAAGTTACACTATCTTTGCCTGAGTGACACTCTCTCGTACTGTCTCGTAGTAGTACATGTAGGCTAGTACTAGTAGTAGTAGTAGCAAA